AAAAAAAAAAAAAAAAAAAACCAAAGGGCTTCATTCGGGCGTAAGGGCCAGCTGTCTCTCATGTCGCCTGCATTATCTTCCGCCGTTGCATGAGTAAAACGAGAACGTTGGATATACCTCCTTCTGGTTACGACAGCCGGGCTCGGGGAAGATGATCAATATGGCATATACCCCTTTCATCGCATGCCGGTTATAAGATATGCAGAGAGGACAGCCATGGCGTTTTCCTGTCTGGTGATTCGTGTGCGTCCTTTGCAAATGCAAGAAGCACTTATGCCATAGGTTACCAGGCGTTCTACACCACATGTATACTGTACCGTCTGTTGGATAGAGAGCTGTGAGAAAGGAGCTGCGCACCCTGTGTGCTCGAGCCGCTACCACGAAAAACAACGGGATATGCAGGCGTTACACCATGTCATCGAAACGTCATGGGGATGGATGGTATTCTAATTGAAAATTTCTATTCAACCACTCATTAACCAGGTTTTGGTCAGCCAGGTCCTCGTACATACGGCGAGTGCGAGAATGGGACCACGCAAGCAAGCGGATGCTTGAACGCGTGGACGTTGTCTCGTTTTCTTACCGCGATAGGGCATTAATGCATAACGACGTTGTTGATATCGAGATCTTAGTTGACAAAATATAGTCCAGCTGAGCTGGTGATTGATGAACATCTCAAATTCTACTACATATTACTGAAGCGCATGTTTCTTTTAATTCTTTGCAATATCAACTGGTAGCGGCCACTTCTACGGAAGAGAACACTCCGTGTATATATGCATTGATGCCATCGCGCATTGTCCATGGGATAGATAGACCATGCAGGCAATATTTTCATTTGACGTGAAAATTGGTATGTGATAATACACGGGAGGGACGACTAATGATCGGCCCCCTGAAGTGACATCGCGCTGTCCCTCTCAAATCAAAGGCAATGCAGACAATAGGAACTGAAGTTATCAACCAACAGTGGATGTTTTATACAGGTCAAAGGAGAGAAATGGTGAAATAGCAGTCAGTCAGTCAACGGTCAACGATGCTGTAGTGGTATATTTTGCTAGATGTAAGATCGCCTGAAACAAGCCCAAACAAATCTAGAAAAGGGGCACAGATAATAATAAATCACTGGTATATGATGGCCGAGTGAGAAACAAAGACGGGCATAGGTGCTAATAAACATTTCCGCTATGCAGAGAGCCAACTCGCTACGAGGGCGCTTGAGGTATCAAATCGAAGAAAGGGAAAAGCAAATCAAAATCAAGTACATGATGGTCATATCGCAGGAGCCCGTATGGGCTGCATAATAAGGCGGGAATATTGCATAATTAGAACACCCATAGGGTCAACAAAGTGCGAAATTGCCCATAAAAGCGTGGATAAACCGACTTGGTATCGCTCCAGGTCATCTCAAACAGATAAGAACAGCAAGGGGAATTATAAAGTGGGTGATCAAGGTAAAAACAGAAGGGAAAGATTAAAAATCCAAAAAAAGAAGAAGAAGATGTAGGGAAATCAGAAACAAAACAAATGTCATGAAAAATACACCCATCATAGCCATATATCTTTCTCTTCTCCTTGAACCCAGTTCGCCCAAACCTTCTCGTACGCCTCTTCCAAATCATTGACCCATCTTCGGGTATCAAACAGTTTACTTTGCCACCGATTCAAGTAAAGCATTTTCCGAAGTTCAAACAATCGTCCACTTGCATTGCCTTGGTTACTACCAGGTTCGTACTTCATCCCCAAACCCAGCTCAATTGCAGTTTTTTCATATTCAACCTCGTCAGAAGAAATCAACTGTCTCGCAGCTTGTTTGCCATCTTCCGTCTGCGGAAGCGCACTTGTTAAAATACTAGATGCCATGCGAGAGCACATCTTGTATTTGTATCGTGGAAACGTGAGGAGTGGTGTGCCACTCCAAAGGACGTCAGCCGCGGTGGTGTGAGCATTACATTCTGGCGTGTCCAAGAAGAGATCGCAGATGCGAGCACGAGAAATGTGTGTGTGTTTTGGTGCAACATCGGTGAATACGATCCTTGATGCAGTTGCTTCGCCAGCCCAGGCTTTTGCTGTTTGTCGGAGATTGTGCTCGCCAACGTCAGGGAAGCGGAGGAGCCAGAGTATAGCATTAGGAATACCGGCTAAAATCCTTAGCCATGTACGGAACGTTGTTGGCTCGATCTAGCAGCTCATTGTTAGTTTATTCATGTTCTGTTCGGGTTCAATGGCTATGCAGACATACCTTGTACAGCTGATTAAAGTTACCAAGAATCACTGTATCATCCTTGAGGTCGGGAAACAGCTCCTTGCGCATCTTCCACCTATTTGCTTGCTCCTCTTCCCATGTCAACTTGGGCGCGCGTGCATCTGGTGCACTTTGCCTGTGATCACAGCAGAAAAAGGTGTGTTTGGTATACACAATTTTCTCACTATATATCCAGTCATCTGCATCTTCGTTGTGATCCACATCATACAGTCGATCTTCTATCCTTGCGGATTGTCCTCGAGGGGCCAGAGTACTAGGTGGAATAGAGAGTTCATCGGCTAGAATGTAGTCGGACCATTCGGCACCCAATGACCCAGCAAATCCCATGAAGGACATATGTATAGGTGCAGGTCGAGCTGCAAACACCTCGTTACGAGCACCACGTGTATAACCATTTAGGTTGACGAGAATATGAACACCATCTCTGACAATTTGATCCACCAGTCGATCAACAGACCAACTGCTAACATCACGGAAAACAGGAGCTTCCCGTTGGATTTGTTGACGGTGAATGGAGTTATCACTGGCTGTGGTTGCATAACAAATCGCTTTTACACGACTTGGATTATGAAGGCCAAAAACAGACTGCATAAGGTGAGCCAGAGGGTGATTGTTGAAGTCGGACGAGACATAACCAACTATGATTTGCGGATTCGGCGGAGCTGGAGGTGGATATACCGTAGCAGGAAGCCATGGGGAACGAAGTGTGGAACAAGAAATACGCAACCCGTTGCGCTGAGAGATATGGCGAATTTGCTTCGCAGATAATGGGCAAGTAAATGTATGGAATGGTAAGACAGTTGGTGCACTGGGTGGGGTGAGTGCCCCTGGAAAATTAGGACGTGCATACCTCGAAGCCGGGTATTCTCTGCGATGCACATATCGATCTTGATACCATTGCCAGCCAATATACTTCACCATTCGTTCTATCAGTCGTACAGTCCGGGATCCTTCCCACCTTTTCCCTGACCAGGAACGTAGCAAGGAATTGAGTGTTGTTCGTCTGCTCATTGCATCCGTGGTATTGCTGGATGGAGACATCAGGGCCGAGCACAATTGGTCAGGGGTTAGGTTCTGAAGAGTGCCACAGCCCCAAAGTTCACCATCCTTCAGTTGTTTGTCAACTATATCAACAACTCGTTTGATCCATCCCGTATCAGCTGTCATCTCCTTTGCATCACGTAGCCGGCCTTGATCATCGACGTGCCACAAATCCCTGATTCCACGACCAGGAGAGATGCCTCCTCTACCTCCCCAGTTGCACACAGAATTCAATGCATTTGCTAGGCCACATACTGCCTCGGCAAAATCTGGGTTAGCATTCACAGCTCGCCGATAGTATCCGATGGCATCGTTGATTCTGCCAGAATCCTTTACAGCATTTGCGAGGTTTGCTAGTGCAATATCAAACTTATTGTCACATTGGACAGCCAATTCGTACATTTTAATAGCAACAGACAACTGGCCGATATCCTTGAGAAGGCTCCCTAGGTTGGTGTAGAGATGAGCGTGTCTTGAGTCAAGGGTTAGGCCATAGTTGTAATAAGCCAAAGCAAGTGCAATGCCACTGCCAGGAGTGACACCGGGAATATCTGGAATTTGATATTCGCCAGCCGTGCGAACGGATTTAGCAGACGTTCCTTGAATTCCTGCGAGGAGGATCCCGACGTTATTTGCTGTTGACGGGCTGGGTTGTAGCGACAGCGACAGATAGTATAAAGCAAGAATATCTCGAACGCCTGGTGTGCTCCTCAGGGTTCCATTTGAAGATGTCGACGCCATGCCATCCTGGTATATCTTGGCCAGCGAAAGTAGCGAGTTGCTGGTTGTAGAAATTGCAGCCCTTTTGGCCAGACCATCTGGGAGAAATTGAAGGCCAGGCAATATGCCATGCGGGTGGAATACTAACTTTGCCGTTTGCAGTGCCTTGTCTGGAAATAGCAGTACGGTTTCCTTGGGATCATATGGCCGGCAAGTAGGAATGCCGCGCCTGTTATCATCAGCAAAAGACGAAAGGATATGGCGGATAAGGCTCTTCATTCCTCGTCGTTTGCCTGTGCTAATGAGGATTGCCTCCTCAAAAGCTCCAGCAGCGGCCACATTATCACCCAGAGCATACAGCATGTTTCCTTTGGCATGTATAAGACCAAGGATTCTGCCATTATCAGCCCCAGGGATAGCATAACCACTCGATCCAAAGCCAGGGGTAGATTGGTCAGACCCGCGACGAGCAAATGCCAATGGGCTCTGGATGCTGTCAGTGTAGTCAAATGCCATTTTGTCGGCAGATTCTGTGGTCGATACGCTGGACTCCCTGTCTTCTGATTCCGTATCGGACTGATCACATGCACGATTCGACTTGAAATAGTCACCGCTTGGTGGTAATCTTAAAGAATTTTCGACATATTGAACGATGTTGACAGCTTCTTTCCCTCGCTGACTGCTGCATAACAACCCGATGAGATGCTCGACAGCATCAAAGTAGCTTGGACGTAATTTTATAGCTCGCAGCCAGTGCTGAAGAGCTTCTTCTCGACGCTCCAAAGCAAGAAGCGAGGCAGCGAGATTGGATATTGCCTCAACGTGCCTATTATAGTTACAGTTAGCATAAACTCTCTTTTAACGGCATATACTAAAATCCAAACTTACGTGGAATCTTGGTTTATAACCCGGTTATACCAACGCATAGCTCTGTTATAGTCACCTAGACCGTAGGCAAGGCAGCCACCAACGAGCATTCCATCGATCCATGTCCAGCCACTCTCTTTGCAGAGACTACCAAGCATTTCCAAAGCAGAAACCGCCTTTTCGGATATTGACATTGCTTCGTGAGCAGGGCTGAACATACGAGACATCGAAGCGCCATGGCTACGTCGGATCGTCCGATATCCATTCATCGACATATCAGACGACATTCCATGATTAAAGGACTGATTTAGATGCCTCAACTGAGCGGAATCATCAATGGATGGAAATTGCCTGTGGGCAGGGTGTCTCTTTGTGTCGAAAAACCCACCCACGGTTTGATCTAAATGAATGGAATGGCTTCGTTGCGGGTGCATGTTCATGGCCTGGACTTGTGGATCGTGATTCCTGGATTTTCTGGCCATGTTTTCGGAATGTGAGAAGTCGGAGGTTGGCTGCCTTGGAGGCTTAGGGTATATGCTGGGTTTAAGAGGCTCGCGAGAATGGGAATCTGCACCCTGACTGGCTTTCTTCCTGGCATTATGCAACGATGCAAGAAGATCGACGTAAACGCTATGAGCCCATGAGAGCGTCTTCTCTTTGAACTCTGGGTTTCTCGGTGACCTGGTAACGTTAGATGCGGATGGATGCAGGCCATTCTGTGAAGTTTGTTGCCAACGTAGAGAATCAACCGAATCTAAATGATGTACGTCATGTTTTGAAGGGAGTGATGACCCATACTGTAACTGGGGTTGATCCCAGATTTGATCGGGCGCCTTTTGAGGGATATGACCGGGAGCATAATGTTGTTGAGGTCTTGAGAGGTCGTGAGCATATACTTGATGTTGCTGTTGGGCGTTTATAGTTGACTGGGCCGGGAGTGGGTTCCAAGAGAAACCTGGTGCAAGAAATTCGGAAGGGGGGAGAGATTGTCTGTTAAAAAGTGATTGAGCGTCTGCGAGCCGGTTGTTGGTGGGCAGCGAGTGTTGTCCTAATGACGGGGTAGATTGATATCTCGTATCTCCAAAAGTGGTAGGTCGGTACGGGGGCATGTATGGCCCGTCAGGCCAGTATTGGCCATACTGCGCTGCAGCGGCCGACTCAGGTCCCCCGAGGCCAGGTTGAAAAGAGGACGCAAGCACTGTGGGAACTGTGGGCAGGTTCTGCCAATAGTTATACCTCTGACCTGCAGTTAAGCTGGAGGTCTGATTTAAAACCGAGTCGATGCCTCCTTGGGGGGGATTTAGAGATCTAATCCAGTTAGTGTTTGGAAATTCTTGTGGTATACCGTTGTGCACAGTATTTATTCTATTTGCATCTTGCTTGAACGCGGGAGGAAAATTTTGGTGCTGAGAAAGAGGTAGCGGTTCGACAGTCTTGAATTGCTGTAGAGGATCGAGGGAGAGGCCAGGCTGGGGCATTATCTGGCTATTATCAAGCGAGGAGACGAGAATGTGTTTAGTAGCAGGCTGCTGGATAGACCTATCTCCAGGAGTAGCATCGTAGCCGGCAGCAAGAGTACCATTGGGTGTTTTCCGTCGTAACGTATTCTCTTGCGAGGCAGAACCGGCGGGTAATCGGCCATCTGGCAGGTTGTGTACCTCAGGCCGCTGGATTGGTCGTGGGCAATGCGTCCTGCTCCCTCTGATCAAAGAGGATGGCCCGTGGTTGGCGTATTGTGAGAATTGGAAGTCATCCTGGAAAGAATGTATGCCTTGTCCGTGGAGGTCGTAAGGAGTATTGGTTGAGTAAACGGACTGAGTATGGCGGTGCGGGAGGAACTGGAGAGGCTGGTGTGCCACTGACGGCAGCATCTTGAATGCTTCTGCCGGGAAACGGGGGGAGAATACCGTCTTCCCTCCTCTCTCACTCCCATCTATCGGTCGTGTCTATCGCAAAATAAAAGAAAAAACTACTTCGAAAATGGCGGGCGAAGCAGAGTTCTTCATCAACCAAGGAATCTTCTTGTTCGTTTTCGAGGCCACATCACGGACACGTATGACTCCTGGCCGATGTGTGTGTGTATGCGTGAGAGAGAGAGTGTGTGTGAGAGAGATGGATCCAAATAGCACAGGGTTCTCTGATAACGGGTGTTGGAAGGGCACTGCCCTGAGCAAACCGGGGAGGCTTATGGGTGGTTGCAGTCCGGCTCAGCCGCACGCGATGAAGGAGGGTCGGTTTCTGGCAAGCGACGTCAGTGTCAGTACACACGAAGGCCGTTGCTCCAAGCCATCAACGGGATAAAGAGTGATCGAGGCGAGGATGGCCGCAGGTATCGCGGTCGAGCTGCGGTTTCTGCGGTCGTTGATGGAGGTGAGGTTGGAAGTTTTGCCGGTCGTGGAAGACTGGAAGAAAAAAAGGCAGACTCAGGGCGGTGAGGCAGAGAGAGAGAGAGAGAGGGAAAGAAAAGCAAAAAAAAAAAAAAAAAGGAAAAAGAACAACAACAACGACAACGACGACGACGTCGACCAAAGCGCAGCAGGCAAGAGACTGACAGACGGGCAAACACACGATGAAGAAAGCGACAAGAAAGCTCCGCTTTTTGAGTACAGCAAAACCGCGTTCGTTGATCCGAAGGTCTGGAGTCGACTTACTTAACTAGCAGACGAGGAAGATTTATGGGCTCTCACGACCGAAGCACTAAATTCCTGGCTGGGTTGAAGCCTGCCCTGGCGGCGACGGTGGAGACATATGAGGTCAGGCCAGGAGGTTTCAAGAGATCGGGGACAAGAGACGCCACAGCTAGCGGCCCTGGCGAGATGCAGGCGGGCGGGTAGGAGCGAGAGGAGCAGAGGAGACGGGGGAAGAGACGGTCGAAGAAGAGAGCCGACCGATCGAGCTAGAGAGGCAGAGCCAGGGGCAGCAGAAAGAGATAATAAGAGAAGAAACAAGAGAAAGAGAGAGAAGGGAAGAGACAAAGACCAAGGCAAATTGAAGAACAGAAGATCTGTTTTCAACTGGAGATGGATGTTAGCCGCTAGGGCGAGCCAGGTCCACACCAACACGGCAAGCGTATAAAGTGTGCTTAACGCCAACTCTATAGCCTGGAAGGAATGGAAAGGCAAAAAGTCAAGGAGACGGAGAAGGATGGAAGGGGGGGGGGGGAGACGGCGTTGGTGGACAAGGGAGGGATAACAGCCACTGGGCGGCCGTTCAGTGACAACACTTCAGACAACGAGACGATGCAAGATTATGATGCAGACGATAGAAACCGCCCAGCAGAAAGATCAGTTGGAGTCGAAGGCAGGCAGTTGGACCACAGCAGCCAAGCAACGCGGTGGGCTTAGGCGATCGCAGCAAAGAAAAAACGCCCATCAACATGCTACTGATGGGGCTATTATTAGAGGCATGGGGAGGGAGGGTCGAAGGTGGGACGGGTGGTGACAGGGACCAGGCTGGGCGGCCGCTTCTAACTAGTCGACCACAGGGAAAAAGCAATGGGCTCGCAGGTCTCAGGACAGGGATGCAGGCTAGCTGTGCAGGTTCAGAGGGTTGTGTGTGGATGGGTGGTGCATGTCGATGTGCCTTGGACGGAGTATATTGGACATCTATGGGATGGTATGGGACGCCGACACATTTCTGACCAGAGTGGCTTCTCTTCTCCCCTGGTGACAGCGATGTAGTCGAAGGATGAGCGTTCTCCTCTCACTTGTGGGCTTCTCTTCCACTTTTGATGATGGGCTGAGGGCGCAACTCTGCATACAAATACGGTATGGCGGAACCTATTATTCTGGGACCAGCGTCGGCGTCCACTTGGTTTGGCGATAATCAGCGTGTCTTTGCCCACTGTTGTGTGGGTGATACTGATGGCCGTTAAACGCCCAGATGTCACTGTGGCTTGATTGGGACCTTGGGCCTCTTCCAGAGCGGCCCCGAACAATGCACCCGTACCGGGTATTAATCTCTACAGTGTCGAACTGCGATTCGACGGGCTTCGCGCATGATGAAAAGGGGAGATTCCAAGATATTCATCAGAGATACTTAATATGGCAAAACCATTTTTTCTTCGGAAACGCCGGGAGGATTACACCGATCTCACCAACAACAACTAAACAATCCTCTACCCGTCATCATCATCACATCAGCATTATCATCTTGGCTCGCGGCAACTGACAACATCTCTGCGTGGCTGTGGATGAGCTCTCTATATGGCTCCACCCTTAGGCGAGGCTTAACCGTGTGATTAATCATGTTTCACTGGCCTGTTTCGAACTCTCCTTCCAGCATCTTTATATACTCTTCTTCGACAAGCTCAGCTTCGCCTTATCGCAGCCTCCAGAAGAAGAAAAGAGAAAGTATGATATAACCTGTGGAACAGGTGTTGGGAAGAAGCAGTATCTGCGTCCTCCTGCTGCGCTTTGATTATTTTTTTCCCTATACTCGATATTTGATGACACGCATGGGTACTTCCCGTACATGGGCCAGGTCGCAGCTTGGCACCTGTTGGATATCGTCAGCATACATGGTCTGCGGAGCATTCTTCATTTGGGAAAGGATGACTCCGCTGTGGCTCCAACGGTCCCACTGATACATCCGCTCCCTTTCTCTTTTGGAGTCAGCGTTGCTTGCTCGCAGACACGAGGTGTGCTCGGCTTCGGCTCCTGCGTATATGTGACAGGCGTTTGTTGATGCAAGGACACACGACCACCCGTCTGCTTCTTCCCTCTAGCTTTCACTGCAGACGGGCCAGAGACCAGGACGATGGGAGATGAATCTCACACTCGAATAGCTCGAAATAAAAGAAATCAAGGCTACATCCACATGAGACTCCACATCGATCGGTTCAAAGGCTTGAAAGCATGGATTCACCCACAGAGCTGTCCCCACTTGGCCGGGATAAAGGCGATCCTTGGCTGAAAGGAATATCCTGGACAGTTCACCTGCTCGTAGTGTTTGGCAATCGACATGGGAACGGGAGGGTATCGTGGTTTGCCTCCATCCCCGCAGGTCGAATAACGGACAAGGTACTCTGTACGTGATGCAGTCGTTTTTCGATTCTATTCTTTGATCCAGCCTGGCATCTGGACACGTTGAGCAATCGCCGTCAACGGGAGGGCAAACCTAAACAGTTCTCGCTATTTTCTTTCTTTCATTCTTCCCTTTTTTTATTATAATATATTCCCGCAGTAATTATGGGGAAGACAAGACGACCGGGGGGGGAGCTGGCCCGAAAATGCCGATAGCTTAATGGAGATATCAAAATGGCGAATTACCTCTAATATAATATAAGAAACTGAAGCGGGAATAGCCACCATATCCTCAGGTACCATCATTATATTAACTACTCAATGCTCTACATCACCTCTTTCCCCCACGACTATTGCTTATACGGACTGGCTAATAAAATAGACTGGAGATTGTTCCGCTTTGGCGTCCAAAAAGTTGGTCTTCCCCCTTGAGAATTTTAATTTAAATTTGTTCTGTCCGAAATTCTCCTTCGAGCATGGTTGGACATGGAGTACATGCACAAGGCTACCTACGTATATATGACGGTTTCCTGCACCATTTAATATGATAAAGGCTTGCTATTGCTTCGTGCACCGGGCTGCGGATATACAGATACAGAGCTCTACAGGATACATATGCAATATCCCCTGGATTTGTAGTTGACTAATTGGTTGATATTTATTGATATCGAGCTTCAGCATTCGTATAATGAGGCATGAAAAGCACTTTGATTTCATCTACGGGTCTTCATACTTTCAGAATTCGGGTACGGAGTACATGGCTTATAGTCAAGGGGGCGATCTTCGTCGTCCCAGGCTGTGGGCGAGCTGCAAGCCACTTTCAAACGGTGTTACAACTGATCACATTCTCCATCTCTTCTCCTCCGTTCAAAGAGGCGAAAGGCTTCTGTATGTGACATGCAAGCTGCAATCACAAGATCTTCTTGTTATATCGACGGCCATCTACTTTTCTTTTTCTATGTTCGCCTGCCAGCAGCTCGTTTGGTCTATTCTCTCTCCATGTGTATGATGTATGAACGGCCATGTAATAGTAGTCATGAGAATGATTGGCTCAACAATGTTTTTCTTCACTTCTCGTTCGTTTGACGCTCTCAGGTCTAATCATTTGTTGCGGGGATATGCATCGGTGTTTCCTACGTTGGGCTGCTACAAACGGGGATCTCGGGCCAACGCAGATACGCACATACATGGTCTGGCCTATTCGGCGCGGGGGGAAGCGGAACATGAAAAAGAAAGGGTTCCTTAATATGCACAGTTAAAATTATTGTCGATTCTGCTGAAATGAGCGTATCAGATCATGTCCTTTACCCAAAGGGGAAGAAACATGAATTCGAGTTCTGCATTCATTCAAATGATACGAACATAGAGCCGTTCCACTTGCAGTTCAGAGTACCTGGGAGTAAATGCTTCTATCCTGGTAATACTTTTCAAATCAAATGAAAGGTTGAGCCAATAACCCAAATAGGTTATTAAAGGCTGAGAAGACATGTAGACCTTCAAGATGGACCACCGCATCCACAGGATAGATGCATGGACATGTATTTCCCCGAAAGGAAGCAATACCCGAGCACCATCCAGGATACCGCGGTGAGTAGTTGGTCACTCAATCTCCTTTGCACCAAAATAGGCCAGTACCGTAGAGATTTTGCTCAAATGAAAACATTCGCGCCGGTACAGGCCAGAGTGTTGGCAAAGGCTGGGTAGGGGAAAATAGATAATGCAGTGAGGGGTATAAGGGTTGGCACGAAGTGTAGATGAAGAGGTGGAAAAAAAAAAGTTTCGTTACTTCGTAAATCCCATGGAGTAATGGGAAGCTCTCTCTGAGTAGTAGTACAAGTAGAAGAAACCAAGAGCGGAAACGGCTGTTGTGCCTATTTCACATCTCTTTTGTCATTTCATTTCATTAACTTTTTCTTTTGGTTTTAAATTTACTCGGAGGGCACTATGCGAAACACGTTAGTATTCCGACATAATTCAAGTAAAGTTATTTTTAGAGGGCCACATACCATCAATTTCACCAGACTTGACGTCGTCGCTAACATCCTTAGGACTGCGTCCATCGACCTGGCAACCAACGCTGAAAGCAGTACCCAAAATCTCGAGAACGGTTCCGCGGAGCTCCTTGGCAAAAGAGCAAGGTCTCATAATGCGGGCAATCTCAACAATCTCATCGAAAGGAATGGACTTGGAGTGCTTGATGTTCTTCTCCTTCTTGCGGTCACGTGGGGGCTCCTTCAGGGCCTTGATGACAAGAGAGGAAGCGGAGGGAACAACAGAGATGGTAGCCTGACGGTTCTGGATGACAAGCTTGACGGTGACACGGAGACCTTTCTGTTTATTTATTAGTCCGGTTTGGACAGCAACAAATGCGAATATCATCTGGTATTCGAAAACGTACCCAGTCACCAGTGGCCTTCGCAATATCTTCACCAATCTTCTTGGGAGAAAGACCGAGTGGACCAATCTTGGGAGCGAGGGCAGACTGGGCACCGACTTCACCACCAGTGGCCCTAAGGTGGCTATTGAAAGAGCAATTGTTAGCACATTGTGATTTTGCGGGCTTGGTAAAACAAAATTGATGAAGACGAAAAAACTTACATCACCTTGACTTCGGTTGGATCTGGCTTTGGAGCTGTTTACATCGTATAAATGTCAGTCGGCCGCCATAGCACACCAGAGGAGATGATACTTACGCATGGCGAGTGCGAAAGGTAGTCTATCTTCCTGGTTCTGTCGAAAGGTGGTGAGGTGATGAAGTGCGAGTCTCCAGATGTTGAAGCTCGAAGTTCAAATTTGGTTTTGTTCCATTTAGCGAACTAGCGCGTTAGGGCAAGACCCTATTATATCACGTGATATAGAGTTTGTCCAGGTGCTGCCCTGGACCCTGAGATACCTGAACAATAGCGTGCCATTATTTGAATTCAAGAACTGAAATTGACTAACTAAGCAAATATTGATCATTGAATTTTCACTATCACTCATCTACCACTCCAAAACATGAACCGTTCTCTCATTAGTTGGTGCCAGAAACGGCAAGTCTAGGAGGACCGTTGTTAGCATCGAAAGATTAATGACCTTTTGAACATGCTACTTACTTCATAAGGTGGTCCATAAACGTTTGGAGGGAAACATCGTCCGTGAATATAGTTTGACCGGGTGCACTACCTCCATAGCCGCCGGAAGAATGTGTAGTCGATGGGTTAAGCTTAGAGAGAAGGAAACGTGCTTGCGAACCACCCGCATCACACACGATAAAACGAGGGAGTGGGAATCGGTCTTGGATAAGGTCCTGAAAGAAAAGGGCGTTAGTAATGCCATATAAGTAATTTACTAATGGGCAGGGCTGTATACTCTTGCGTCTTCCTTTGGCTGGTCAAGAATTGCCTTGAAGTTCTCATAGCCTTCTTGGTCCTGATATCCAGCTTTCCTCCATTCTGCCATTGTCTCACCATGGAAGATAAGGATATGGAAGAAGGTATCTAGGAGTAAGATGTGGGCTGGATGGATGGAGGCAGAATCCAATAGCACTGGTTGACTGCCTTCGTGCTCAAGTGAGTAGGAGTCAAGGGTAGGCTGGATCATGACTAGAGAATCGCTGACCGACTCATGGTTGAGAACATGTCGGTAGAAAGCAGTCTCATCTGGCGAGTTGTTGAATACCTGCAAGAACTGACTTCGTCGAAGATGGAACATGAACTGAGGGTAGAGACTGAAGTTCTTCTCAAGTCTAAACGATGTTTGGTCGTCTTTCCTGTAATCGGCAAATCGCGAGCAAAGTCTGATAAGCATTCGATCAACCCATCTTAGAACATCCGGACCATCATCAACCTCCGCCTTGAAGACTGCGATACGAGACATCAAAACTGCTGCAGCTTCTTGATCGAACGAGTGGGCAAGAGCTGCATCTCCGGCAGGGCTGCTGAGGGGTCTAGCAATGGTAGTGACTCTGAGATGGTACTGTCCGGAAGAATGCTGGTAGTAAGTTAAGAATTGCATCATGGCTCGATGAGGGCCTTGCTGCATAGGTGCCGGCCCACCTTGGTTGGCAATCTCGAAAAACAGGCCGTAGCTTGCAGCAGGGTCAATTCCGCACATCTTCCAAGAGCAGGTGTTTCCGATTCCGCAATCAGTTTCACCAACCGAGCTGGACTTCTTATTGAGAGAGATAGCATGGCCGATCAAGCCGGTAACCTTTAGTTCCTTAGTAGTGAGAACTTCCAAAGATGCGTTGAACCCCATGGTAAGGTTATCACTCTCATCTTTATCGAAGATCCGAACAAAAGACTGTTTGAACTGAGACGAGGTGAAGCTGTCGGTGAGCAACATATGGCCACCCGTTGAATTAACCAGACCTTTCATTTCCAGTAAACCAACTTGGTCAAGACAGCCAACATATATATCCACAATGTGGCTGTTGTGGGCTGCTCTCTTTGCTAGGTTATCGTAGAACTACAGTTCGTTAGACATTTCTGTGGCGTTTCAGCGGAAAGGACTTGTCATCGTACCTTGACAGCTTTCTTAAAATATTTAATATTGTCCCGGTCGATATCGTGGTGGGAACGGATTGGTTCCTTCAGTTGAGGGCCAACAACTAGACCAGGGCCTTCGGATGCTGGTCCACTTGTGAACAACATTACCCGGCCACCAGCACCCTGAAATGAGGTCTCCATCAGACCAATCGCAACGCTAAGAGCAACACCGGTACATCTTAGTGGACGTCTATCATTGGCAACGGGCCAGGGATCTTGCTGTAGCTGTTCGAGGACATTTGTAATCTGATAATCTGCCTGCTGGACTGGGAGAAGGAATCGGGCCGCTGGCGAGTTTGCCGGATTTGGGCGGTTAGGCTGCTGTGGTGCAGCGACTCTGAGATTGGGAGCGAGCAAGCCAAGCATTTCCTGAACTTGCTTTGCAGAGTAGTCCTTGCTTCCCCGGAAAACATATGACTTTGCACACTCAGTATATCCAATTTCGTGGACTTGGGCCTATATGAGACAACGTCAGCGGAATGAAGTAATGGTCCTAGCCGGATGGTGGACATACCATAGTTCCAAAGGTGATCAAGCCGACAAGAGCGTTGGCAGGCAGGAGGGACAAGCTCATGATGAGGGAGTCCTTCAATGCCTTCAAACTGTCTTCCTCTTGACACGTATCGACTACATATAGGAAGATTGGAGGTGCAGGCGCAGGGCGGGCTAGCCGATATTCAACGGTGCTGTTCTCCGGATGAAGCTCCGGCGGGATGGCATTTTCGGTGATATCCTTGTAATGCGGCGGAAGAGGGTTGCGTTGGAGACAGAATGGGCATATCCAGATACGTGCACGAATATCAACGTTGCTGTTCACCGTGGTCAATTGATGAAAACTCGATCAAAGAAAGAAGTGCGGGGAGATTTGGCAACGTACGCAAAGGGGTTGAGGACCGCCCTGCAAGGCATCTTGCAGGTAACCGGCTCATACTGAAGCAAGGTGCCTTCTGGCCGCTGCTTCAATGGGGTGTATACAGCTCCAATGGGGACCACAAGCCGAGATGCCTCCTGTAACCACTGTTAGGACTTCCCGACTCCATAGATCTGGCCGGAACCTTGCGAAAAATAAAACGAACCATGCGCGTGCTTGGGAAGGTATTCCAGCTTAATCGAACGCCATCGCGCTCCTCCGCATCATTCCACTGGTCTTTCAAAGCCTCGTAGTCCATGTTGCCGTGAGGTACGATCGTTTGGTTCGGAGGTCAAGGGGGCGGGAGGGAGAGATAGCACAACAAAACAAGGTGACAGAGGCGAGGATATCAATAAAAGCTTGCAAGCATAATCACATTAGATGTAAAGAAAGGACACAGGTAGAAGAAAAAGCAGTCTGCTGGCAGCGAGCCCGTTGAACAGGTTGGCAGAAGTCCAGGCAGCTCTCTGGGAGGTTTGGCTTCGTCGTCGTGGTGGGAAAGCCGATTTGATGCCAGGTTGCAGGATGCGGCAGGTGTGGTCTCTCTCGCCCGCCGTAGCCAGCCCGCTAGCGCCAGCGGGAAAACCTAGCGCGCGCTGCGTATAAATAATAGCGAAAATTTTCTCTCTCTCTCCAACTCCTCCTTTTCTTCTTCTTTTACAACAAACAACGCCGACATATTAATTCACATTACATTGGCAGCTCCTGTCTTTTCCTCTATGACACTGCTGTTTTCGCGTCGAGCGAAGATCGAATTCTTCATACCCATTGCTGGGCACCTGGTTTTGATGGCTCATTCTGATGCTTTATGAGAGGCCGGGAATCAGCAGAGGTAACAACTATGCTGACTGCTCTCTAGATTCGTTTTTGCACCATTCCTTTCGTTCTCTCGTGAATGGATACGTGCTCTACTATTTTGGAGTATTAATCTTGTTACAGCGATTTGTTTGGGACTGTATAAATCTGTTGTCTCCAGAAAGCACGGTAAATCAATGTTAGAATCATTGAAGCCTTCAAAAATATATACTAGAATTTGAAAAAATAAAATATAATATAATATAAATAGGCAGGCAACGCCCAGGAAGATGACCGCTTACGCCGTTACATTGCCCTCAGCCGAAACCCTAAGTCAGTAATCATTTTACGACGTCATTTCAACCTCTGTTTTTGGTGCATTGTTGAGGTTCTTCAGTAAGTAACTGCGCTTGAAGTAAACGTTTGGGTGAACGATGGTATCAAGCTCAGTTTGACTCCATATGCCTTCGTCCCGAACTTTCTTTAGCTCGTTCTTATGAACATGCTCAAATACTCGATTGCAGGCAATATGATAGCGGGTTCGGCCAACGTCCTCCCGTACACCGCGGAGGGTCTCTCGGTCCGTTATACCGACCGCTTCAAGCAGAGAGACGAGGTTATCTGGTGAAAAGTGTCGGTAGGGGCACCCGTGGGTCTGGCCGGTGCCAGGAGCATTATCAGTGAGAATCTTTTGGCATGAGTATGGTGGATACCCTCGTCCTCTCCGGTTCATGTCACCGCCGACATCACCGTATGCATGGCGAACGTTATATTTATATCTGGAGTTGAACTCGTCATCAGTTATGTTCCGGAATGACCGCCGCCAGAACACTAGACAGTCATCAAGTGACAGGCCAATGCCTTTGAGGAAAAGGGTATATTGGAGTCGCCCGAAATGTTTCAAATGTGCGTTCTTCCGGAGTTGCATATGTAGATTCCGCATACAGAGCGGAAAATGCTGTGCTAATACGTCAACTGAGGCGGCATTGATCGGGGCTCCGGGAACAGCACCCTCCCCTTCAGAATAAGAAGAGTCTGCGGTTCCAAAGTTCTTAGATAGATGCTGGAGAATTGGCGAAAGGCGGTCATCTTCGTCAAGTCGGGGTAGAGCACGGCTGGTGAGCTAGATGTTTTTGGTTAGCTTCCTATAATCCGTGCAATCAAGTACCGTGGTGCAAACATACTTCCATAGCCTTTTCCAACCGGGATGTGAATTCTGCAAGAATCATGCTCAGCTGTTCGCGCAAAGGTACATATGCCTTCCCTTTCTTCACATATATACTTCGCCGTTCGATCAACTCAGGTACAGCTTCCCAGTCGACCTTGAACCAACTTTCGTCATCAACCCATCGAAGACCAGGAGTCGACGCCAACAAAGCCTCGCCCAACTCGGCCTTTTCCTCGTCAGTCACTGTCTCCCAGTCCAAATGTAAACTGTCCACAAACTCGCGTCTTTCCCGTGCATCATCTTGCTGAAACCGGAATTTAAACAGCATAGACTCCAGACGGACAAACCGTCGCCTCAAATCATCGGTTGAAGCGAACGCAAGCCGTAGTATAAAATGGGAATAGTGGTCCTTCTGTCTCTCAGCTTGAAGTATATCGTCACTACTACTACCCAAAGAGGTATTTGAGTTCAACGGGAGGAATTTTTTGAGCAGAGGGGCGATGTGAGCAGCCGTTTCCGCCGGGGTTTTATTTCGATAGGAGCAAGCCTCCAGTTCAGATAGAACTATAAGATAATCAGTATCGCTCAACTTCGACACCTAAGAAGGAAGAGTCTCATACCTCTAAGACGATCAATTGCCCATTGCTCAAACTGCTCCAGAGTGATTTCCGCTGTTGGTGGCACCTCATAGAAGTTCAGCCGGTGTGAATATTGAAGATGTTTATAGACGGGCGTTGCAAACTGCCGCTTTTTATGGTCAATGCCGGCCCGACGCTTCGTATCAACTCGATTCCTATCGTATTGCATCATGATAAACCTTGTATCACTGTCGTCGGAGCTATCGAAGATGCTGTGGCCCTCTCGTCTCTCTCCGTCTTCGTCTGCTGCGTCGTCTCTTGCTTCACGCCTAAAATCGCGTCGAGACGCGAAACCACTTCCATAAACTTTATACTGTTCACGTGATATTGATGTCACCTATTACATAAGCACAACCACTCTCTATCCCGAACTCGGCCCGCAGCCCTTCGAGGAGAGGCAGAGAGATTCTTCTTACAGAGCACTCGAACAGCGACGGATTGCCTGAGCGGTAACTTGCCTACCTTTGTGCAGCGAAACATGCGGCTCTCTCTTGACTATGCATCGTCATATCATCCCCTCAGCCGAAACTCGCCCAGATCGCGATGGACTGACACGTGACACCCTTTCCCTCCCGGCCCTCTGGTTGGTCCCCGCAGAGCCGTGCACATGCTTCGGGCTCTTTTCCAAGGCCGGGATTGGCTGGAAGGCTGCCCAGGCTTTGCCTCCCTTTCCAAGGCCGCCAGTTCAACATTTCCGGGTGAGCATCGCCAACGCCGAAACCACCTGCACCTTGTATATAACCACCATTCTCTCACATTTTGAGGTCGCACATACACGCTCTACCGGCCTCACAGCAGGTTACTCGAAGTACCGGCCAGATACACTCTTCTTACGTCTCGATTACTAAGTTAGTTATTAGAGTTTTCACGCCGTTGCAGCCAGGGTTCCTCGACGTGCATATTGCTCTCGTGCATTTCTTTGGCGGATAGCTTTTCCCACAGTACATAATGGTTGGTGCCAGTGCAGCAACTAGACGGTTGAAAAAGGCTGCGCGGATCATCCTCGTTGGAGCACCAGGTGTTGGGAAAGGCACCCAGACGGAGAGACTGATCAAGAGGTATCCACAGCTTGCATCGATCAGCTCAGGGGATTTGTTACGGGAGAACATTCGCAATAAGACAGAAATAGGTATGTGGCTATCGACTCGCTTGTTGTTCATTGGTGGGAATCAACTGCTAACGGCACCGAATAATAGGACTCAAGGTTCAGTCAGCTCTGCTTGCAGGCCAACTGGTTCCAGATGCCACCATCCTAGAATTGATATCCTCCGAACTTACCTCTAAAGGGTGGCTTGTGCCATCGCCCAACGTTTCATCCACATCCGCTCCATCGTCGAAGAAATCACTCAACTCATCGGCCTCATTCATACTCGATGGGTTCCCCCGAACGGCCGTCCAAGCCAACAGCCTCGAGTCCCTCGTTCCCATAAATCTTGTTGTTCATCTTCTTACCCCCCCATCCATTATACTATCGAGAATATCTTCTCGATGGGTGCACCCTGGATCTGGCAGGGTATACAACACTGATTTCAATGCACCAAAGGTTCCCGGAAAGGATGATATAACGGGGGAACCACTTGTTCAGCGGGACGACGACTCTACCGAAGTCTGGAAGGAGAGATTCCGGAAGTTTGAAGAGACCAGCAAACCATTGCTAGACCATTACGAAACAAAAGGATGTGTTCTGCGTATAGAGGGCAATTCGAGTGATGACATTAGCCCGAAGTTGTTTGCTGAAATCGATAAACGATTCTGTTGATACCCACCCTATGTTATCCTGGTAAAGATATGCCATGTATAACGTGTGGCCTTAGATACGGATGCCTTTGGATAAGGGCAGTTCTCACTTTGTTTTCCCTTCGTTCAGCTGTAATAATATTGACAAAGAATTATCATCACATATACATAGAATATGGGCTGCTAGATACCATATCAGTATCTTCACACATAGTATCAGATATTCAAAGAAAAAAATTCCTCTTTTAACGCTAGAACGCTCGAATCAAGAAGGCATCAGTCGTCATTTCAAGGCAGTCAATCACGCAGAAGAACCTTTCTCCTGGTCCATGGTATTCATCCTAGACTTGAAGTCTCTAGGGCTCTCCCAGTTATTTGAACCCTTTGTTTTCCAAAGCCCCTTCCCTTTCTTCTTAGCCAACGCCTCAGCATTCCTATATTTCTTCTCTTGCTCCGGCCCTCCAAACTCGGCGCCAGATTTGGCCTCATAGACAGTTGCCAGGCCTTCTCTTAACATCTGCAATCCAATATCCTGGGGGAAAAATAGAAATCGATAAGCATACACGGTAGCTACAACACGGCTGTATTGGTCAGGCCTATAGACGTAAGCACGTATTCTGCGGCCGGTTAGTCGATTCGTTAACCACTTGTGTGCCTCTTCGCCAAAAGGTTGGGCTGGGCGTCCGAAATGAGCGAGCTCCGGTGCATCAACGCCCGCAATACGGATGTGAATCTGTTAATAGGTTAGAAATTTCAACAAGGGAGATCACAATGTTGATTGAAAGATTTCGTACCGTGTTGTTCTTTAAGTCTTTCTTTGATGTAGGCACCTTTCTGAGCCAACCCCATCCCGCAAGCATCCCACCGGGAGTATGATAGATGCGAAAGTTATCTCCATCGCCCACACTCGTGACTTTGCCCAATATACTTCGTTGTCGAAGGTAGGACGGTGATATATTAGGCGCTTCTGGGATTCGGCGTAGATATCGACGATGTATTCGAACTGCAAATAAGATGCCGCTCGTTAAAAGGATGGTGGGAATGAGATTTGACGGTTCGATAAAATGAGACCAATTGGTTGCATTGGACAATGCATTCCAATCCTTAGTAGCTCTCGAGAGTGTTGACGGCTTCTCATTGCTATTGGAGCTTGGTTTGCTATTGCAATTGCATTCATCCTTGTCATTGTCTGATGTCCAGAAGAGCCATCGCATGATGGTCACTTGCGAGTTAATGGGAGTCCTCCAAGGTATGGCTAGCACTGAGACAGAGTAAAGGGATCATATATATATAAATATCCAGCATCAAGAACGTTAGATGAAATAGTAAAGAGAGAGTCAGCCTCTGACTTTGGTGTTATTGATAAACGCCTCTGCATATTTTCGGTCAGGTAAATATTTAAGCTTAGAGAGCTGTAACTAGGGCCTTGGCACGGCGCAACGGACTTTATTTCGACCTGCACGACAAAGAGCCAAGGTCAAGGAAAGATTGAACAATTCACATTCAACAAGATACCTTAGCCATGATATTGATATGTAAAGTAGTAAATCTATATTTCGTAAACTATACAAGTTGCAAAACCAAGTTTGGCATGGAACCATCCCAGGATCCAGTAGGAAAAATCAAGACTAGAGATACGTAGTTATAGATCAGCGGCCACATCCAATGTGTAAATGTTCTATTTCAGGGTCGCTGGCATTGATTGCTTTGCTTTAGCAGCGGCAGCATCAGCGACTTTCTGGAGTTTCTCCTTCTTCAGGGTTCGAAGATAGGCAAAGAGTAGAACGAAGAGCAGTTCGATCCTATAAATTTCCGGTAAGCACTGAGGTCGCAAGGAGTTCTATTCGAAATTAAACATAGAGCCCTTACCTCTCCTTGGTCATCATTAGAAGGCCTTGAACCAATAGGCCTTTCATAATCTGGGGGCCGATTCCTTTGAAAAGACCTAGGGTACCTTCATGCTCGATAATGTAACTCATCACTTCAACAAAACTCTTGAAGGGCCTTCCTTTTCTGGATGGCGGTGGGCGAGACTGTAGACCAACCTTGGCTACAATCAACGGCTGGGTGATGATTGTAGCCAAACTCTTGGACATGGCGCCCAACACTAGATACCCAGTTAGTTTTGTGGATAGCCACCAGGGAAATATAACTAGACATTTAACGGAGAACTCACAGAATGCTTCCATAGGCCGCAGGTTATTCTTGCCTGGGTATATGATCTCTCTAAGGCGTTGATAGGCACCGTACGTAATAGCTGGGTTGACTACCAGAACAAGGCTGGCCTTAAGACCCCTCCATAGACCACTCCATCCATCCTCGCTATTGACGACCTCTTTACCCGTATCAATAAGTCCCTTTTTCTCCCCCTTCGGCTGTGTTTGCTGCCTCGTTGTGATAACCGCAACAGGGATTGTGAAAACCTGAGCAATAGCTCCCGCAACAGCACCCAGAGCCAGCTCAGCAGCGGTGCCGAGTTTCTGGTTCGGTCGTGATTTCGTATATAGGGTTCGGACGGTGGAATACCAATAGAAGTATGCGAAGTTCGTCGACGCGACTCCGATGAGAGAGCCATTCATGCCGGAGTATAGCCCAGAGAGGCCTTCATCGGCAAGGATCTTTTTGATAGCATCAATTGTAGAGTCGTAATGCACCGTGCCATCGGAGATGTCACCTTTCAATAGTTTCTGGGACTTGACCTGGACTTGTAGTCGAGTCTTCACACTGCAGGGCCATCGAATTTCACGTTAGCTGAACCGCATTCCCAAAAGCTATAATACAAGGATAACCAGGTATATAAATCTCACATATCTAAGGGGTATACGAGGGCGTTTGCAACAACGGCTCCAGTAGCCCCTGCGACTGCGCTCTGCCAAGGGGAGAGCTTCGATTGACCGGACATGATTGATAAGTATAACGGTGCGATCTTTCAGCAAAAACAAAAGATCGCAAGACTTCTCTCTCAAAAACGGATGGCGTGGGACATGGGGCTAAATAAGGAGATAGCAAGGCTATGCGTCACGCAGGCGAATAAACCGGCCCGATCGATGTTCAGCTCTGCGACCGGTGGGAGTTGTTTGACTTGATATTCCATGCTCCAGACGAAAACCAGCAGGAACTGCCGTAACCTAAAGTCGCAAAGCCGAGGCATAACGAGATAAACTTCGAGCTGACAACGCCAACCCGTGGGATCCGAGCGTATTATGTCAGCAAATGCCGGCAAATTTTCGGTGCGCGTGGGGAGCTAGGGAGGTAAGCCGTGCTTCCCGGTTCGAGGGATACTTGAGCTGCAGCATCAAAAACAACATCCATAACACCCACCGAGCCACCTACCTCATGAAGGGAATGCTCTGCTATCCTCTACATCTGCATCTGGTGCCGATAAGGGAAAGGAAAGAGGCCCTTTGTGACGTGCTTGTCTCACGGTGCACATAGATTCCTACTATGAGCCGATAGACCTCACAAAGCTACTGCGATGTCTCAGCTAAGAGACATCAAGGCCCAAGCATTGGTACTGCTTCCGCTGTCTGCGTGGAATGAAGCTTGATAATAACTATGACTCAGCTGACACACTTGCTCCTAGGAAGCTGAGAAGGATGTACGCTCAGCATCGACTCAGAAAGAGGAGTTGCAGGCTGCAATTAACGCCGCGGAACATTATATGAATGCCCTCCGGCTGGTTAATGACCCGGTCGAAAAGAGGCTGTTTGACTCAAAGTGCAAGGAATATCTCACTTTAGCTGAAAATATCAAGCAATCTAAGGATGGAGGCCAGAGAAATATCCCAGTGATACCCGTATTGCAGCCGGCGGCCTTAGTGGACAGGGAACCAACTTCTACAAGAACCCAGTCTAATCGTGAACAGATTATACTACTCGAAAACTCCAAGCTCAATGGATTTGTTTTCCCACCTTGGTCAATGACAGCTATTTCCGATCTCAGGGAATTTCAAGTTGACGACGAGGGCGAGTTATTTCTGTAAGTCTCTTCGTTGGCACTAAGTTGGCATGGACAGTTCACTCATTCAACATTCGCGCAAGTGATGTTTCTGATCTCCAAATATGTCCTGTTCAGCGAGAGATATTTGATGGCTGGAAACGGCCCGCTGAAATCCTGGGCCATCATACGTCAGGCTCCCCGATTTTACTAGGTCCAAATCCAATGGACCTAGTTCAGGATGTAACCACGGACTGCTCTGTTGTGGCAAGTCTTTGCACAGGAGCATCGCCGTGGAAGGAAGGAGTTTCTCAGGTACTGTCCATGAATACCATACTCCCGGACATTTTCTAAATGTTGACTACATAGCTCGTTCGTTCTATACAAATGTACCCCTCTGAAGACGGTAAAGTCCCATGTATTTCTCCTTCTGGGAAGTATATTTTCCGTTTATATTTCAATGGCTGCTACCGAAAGGTCATTATTGATGACATGCTTCCTTCCTCCAAAACTCTACGATCACTCCACGTGATTGATAGGAACAACCCTACGGCCATATGGCCCGCCTTGGTTGAAAAGGCATATCTGAAAGTAAGAGGAGGTTATGACTTTCCAGGAAGCAACTCTGGGACTGACTTATGGGTTTTAACTGGCTGGATTCCTGAGCAAGTCTTTTTGCATGACGATGAACTGGCACCCGGTCATCTCTGGCAGCGTATTACCAACTTCTTCCAGTCGGGAGATATATTACTAACCCTAGGTACTGGAAAGCTGACAGAGTATGAAGAAAATGAGCTTGGTCTTATCAGCCTACACGATTATGCAGTTTTAAGCTTGCAAGAGAGAGATGGAATTCGTCAAATGCTCATAAAAAATCCATGGGCCGCGGGACCTGTATGGAAAGGAGTCGGTCAACTTAGTGAGAACTATGTTTTTAGTGATGGCTCTGAGCATGAAACGTCACATCCCTCAACCACCGCTCCAGGCACATTTTGGATGGCCTTTGAAGATGTCCTCCAGAATTTCGATAACCTGTATCTAAATTGGAATCCCTCTCTATTCCGCTACCGCCAGGATATCCATTTTCGCTGGGACTTGTCATCTGCAAGCATAGTTCCGGGGTGCTTCGCGGGAAATCCCCAATTTGCTGTTTCCACTAAATCTGGAGGAACTGTATGGCTTCTCCTTGGAAAGCATTTTAAAACTGGAGACTATAAAAAGAATACAAACCAACTGTTGGAAGTGGCTCCTGATGCTGACCAAACTGGGTTCATCAGCCTTTATGTGTTCGAGAAGAAAGGTACTAGGGTGTATTTGGCAGACGGGGCTCTCCGGCGTGGGCCTTACGTTGATTCCCCGAATACGGTGATGAGGCTTGAGATGCCGCCAAACTCGACCTATACCACCGTCGTGTCAGAGCAATCCCATCAGAGATCACTCTATAGCTTTTCTATCTCTGCATTTTCTATGTCTCCGATTAGTATCAATCCCGCGAAAGAAACATATTCTCACGTCAAAAAGTTATCAGGAGCCTGGACTACATCTACAGCTGGTGGTAATGCTGAATCCGAAAGATATCCTGAAAACCCCCAGTTCCAAATACAGATCCTCGAGAAATGCGATGTCAATATTCTTCTGGAAGCAGAAGATCCTGGCCTCGCAGTTCATGTGAGCCTCATTTGGTCAAACGGGGACCGGGTTGCATGTGTTCGCTCACGAGATATAGTAGTTGGTAGTGGTGATTACCGCCGCGGCGTCGCTTTGGCTGAGAAAAAAGATGTGACAAAGGGGATGTACACCATTGTTTGTTCAACATTCACGCCAGACCAACTGGGAAATTTCACATTGTGCGTTTCTAGCACCTCGCCCTGCTATGTCAGGCAACTGCCAGCAGAAGGGGCGGGCCATTTGGTTATGAACTCTGGCATCGGAGTCTTCCCTCCAGGCACGGATCGGATTTTGGCTCCGATTTCCATCCCTCGCCTGGCACGGTTGAAATTAATATGTCGACGTCGTGGATCATCAATTGGAGATCGCAATGCCGCTCCATCTCCCATCCTTATGACTGTAGAGCTTGGGCAAGGACCATATAAAGAAATTCTTGCTGGGTCTGGGGATGGCAACTTTAGTGATGATGTTAGGGGCGCTCGCATTGAATCGGTGGACTTACAGCCAGAATTTGAACGGAGAGGGGGAATATGGCTTGTTGTTGAACGTATTGGCGGGCCGGGTGGTCAGGTTGAAGACCGCATCGAGGTAGAAATTCTGTCAGAAGAGCGCATTGGGATAGGGTCCTGGGGTATTGGTGATGGATGAGACTCCGAGACTACGCATGTAGATTGCTGTGCATCTATATAGGCAGAATATATGCAATTATTACTACCTAACGAGCGAGAACTTGACAAAATCCTAAGTATTATCGAACACTCCTTACGAGTTCCTGGCTATCTTTCTATCTCTCTCTAGGTATCTAGCCGTGTTCGATATCAGAGCGCTGAGTACCTAGTGGAGATAACTAGTTAGTTACCGCTGACTAAGCAGACTTTTAACGTCATTTGTTCCCCACGCCTTTCGTGAAGCTCGTTTGGCTTGCAGACGAACATCATCAACGCCAGGTTGCTATCTATCAGCAAACATCCAAGCACAGAAGCCGTCAAGATGTCGACAAATATCCCAGCTGGTCTAAAGACGGCCGATATTAGCCGTTTTGTGACCCGCGCAGCGCAGCTTGAGAAAGCAAAGCCGACAATCTCATATTGGTGTACGTTGCGTCAGCCTTGAGCCGTCAGTATAATTAACCACTCCCTGCATTGCAAGCTAACATGGGCCTAAAACACAGGTAACTTCTGGGCTGTGACTCAGATTTTGGACAAACATCTTCATCAGACAGATGAAGAATGCTTGAAATACACCACTGAACTCATGGATAAGCTCGAGAAGGTATGGTTGCCATAAGCCGTTATTAGGATTTACTTGACTCCCTTGGGTCACCAGTGAACTAACGGCGAATTATTTCTGAGATGCTAATCTTTTTTTGGGTGTCTTAGTTTAAAAAGGAGCACTCTAATGACGATACGATAACAGACGACACTGCTGGTCAGGCATACGTAGAACAATTCGCTCTTGAGACATTCCAAAGGGCGGAAAATGCAGTTCGGGCAAATAAAGCATCTATGTGGGTTTGAGAAATCTCCCCTGAAATGGTATTAAACCAATTTAACAAAATATACAGGCAGACTGCCGATACTTTCCAAGCTGCAGCCACTTTCCTGGATCTAGGCCAAGCATGGGGCCAACCTGACGCGGAGACAGCTTCCAAAATTAAATATGCTAAATACCACGCCGTCCGAATTATGAAAGCTATAAAAGCTGGAGAAGATCCGAATATCTCCAATCCTAAAAATACGGAAGCCTCACCGGAAACCTCAAGTCAGGCTGAAGGAACAGTTGCTGCCGGTGACACCCAGGCGCCTCCAGAAGTCCCTAGAAAAGCACGACAGCCTTCTGTCGAGGATATTCCGGATGATTTCGATAAGGTTCAAAGTAAATTGGCAGCGCAATCATCACTGAACGAATCGCTTCATCCTTCACGTTCATCTTCTGCAGCGCCTCCACCACGGCCTACAAGTGCTCTTAATATCCCGAATGCACCCACAAGTGCGCCAGGCAGTGGAATGCCCAGTCCTCCAATAAGTATACCCCCAGGGATGGTAGACTTTGATGACAGTTTACGGCAGAGACCCTCACAACTCTCCAGGGCTACTGTTCCTGACCTGCCTGCGGCGCCCTCTGATTTCCCATCGCCTGCGTCAAGCAATGCTGACTTACCGTCTCAACTCGGACAAAAATCCGACTTTTCTTCACTTAACGTTTTCCAGTCCTTCCCTCCACCTGCCACGGACCCTGAATTCCCACCCACGGAGTCCCACGCTCTTGGCCCTCCCCCGCGCACATCTCCTGGAATGGGCGTTGATAGAACATCCCACCCACAGCCTCCAATGGTACCGCCAATAACCCAAATCCCTAAAGACACGCTACCCGTATCTTCATCAACGCATGGAACTAGTAGCTCTAGCCAAACCGTTGATGAGGAAGCAATTTCAAATGCCCAAAAGCATGCGCGCTGGGCAGTGTCTGCGCTCAATTTTGATGACGTCAACACTGCAATCAAAGAGCTGCAAAAGGCTTTAAATTTTTTGAACCCCCGTTAAAATACCATATATAAGTTTACATATTCTCATATGGTTGATGAACCATCACTCTTTCAGGCTCTTGGTGCATATGAAGCCTTTCGTATGCCACAACAAAACTTCTGGGAGGCATAGCTTTATTTCGCCTTGTATTGCAGTTCTAGCATCCTCTTGTTTCAGCTATCAAACACGATACTGCCTCTTGACAGCCTAAATTGAATCTAGAATGGAATTTCCAACACCACGTACGTTTCGGCCTATACGTGTATCCGCTCTTCGGACATATCGAAAACTACTATTTGCCATTCTTCGTTTATCCTTCATATGGCCATTCCACCCATATCAAACTAAAAGGTGTCTTGTCCAATTGGGGGATGGATCTTTTCACAAATGAAACTGGATGTATCGTGTTTATGTATGTATACCTAGTTAGCAGACACTGATTCGAATATTTTTTGGACACTTATCTCTAGTTTCATACCAATATCCCAAACCATTCTTCTAGTATATGGAGCTCAAGAAGTGTCTCTGAAATAACAAACCAGTGAACACTTAAGGCGCCTATTGTTATGTCCATGCCTTCAAGATGTTACTTTTATACTCATGGCTGCTGATGGGGAATCGCCGCCAGCTAAGCGAATAACGTATAAGTCAGTAACGGAACTGCATGTTCCTGTCAACTTGTTCATTTTGTTTATTTCTCACTGCATGAAAAATGATCTGAAGAAGCTAATTCCAATATCTTCATTCTCCATCCAGATACCCGGCATCCTGAATATTCATACACGTTTTGGCATCTAGAGACCTTGAAGTCTACGTATATCAATATACTTCATTCATATAACTACTCTCTTCTCTGATACCAAAATAGCTGAGGATCACCCCGAACTTCTATTTACCAGAAAACATCTCCTGAAAGTTCAATGACTGCGATAAACCGAGGACCCATCCGTCACATATATTTGATAACCGTACTCAGTAGTGGAAGTCCATTATACCTACCTGGACAGGAGCTGTGCCACAGGTACAATTCGAGCATACCAAGGCGCGTGTTATCAATGATCTTCCGGTGAAGAGATATGTAATATTTTCCGCCTTATTACATGGGGGCCTTGATGCTGACGCTCCATTCACCCGGGAACGGATGAATGCAGCTCTAGACCATTTTACACAAGGTCGTTCTCCCACCGTATACCGAGGACTCGCCACCGGTTATAATCATGTTTCAGGAGCTGCTTGAAGCAAGCATCAAGCAAATTAGGAACACGAAATGGGTACAGGAACGGTTTGCAATAACAAACATTGATACCCGTGGATTCGACTCCCCGTATGGAACGCTTACTTTAACCCAAGCTGAGGATCACAGCGAGGAAAATAATGACTCCTTATTGGCCGGGATGACACTACTTGTTGTAAATGTTTTCCGTGTTAGATGGCTCAGAAATTTCTGGAGGGACGGGCTGTTCGTTGATTTGGACGTTACATATACGGGGCAGGATGGCCGAAAGGAAACGAAGTCCCTTCGAGCCTGCAATACCCACCTTGACTCTTTGTCTTCTGTTCATCCGATCCGGCCCTAGCAAGTAGCAAAGGCTACAAATTACCCAGAAGAGGTGATGCATGGTGGTGTGCTGGCGGGTAATATGAATTCCATCCAGGCTTCGGACGATCGGATTGCGGGGGATAGCAATCTTAAGGATACATATTTGGTGCTAGGAGGAACTGAAGGAGATTCAAAAGAATATACCTGGGGATATCAGCGTACTTGTGATAAACATGAGATTTTCCGGCCTGAACGTCTTGACAAGGTCCTCTATCGCGGTGGCCTGGTGGCCAGGGCCTTGACACGTATTAACGTGGGAGTGGTCGTGGAGGGTGACGAAATCGGATCAAGTATTCGAGCTCGAGGCATGGAACTCTGGACTACAGATCACTATGGACTGATGGCTGACCTGGAGGTTGCTGAAGTGGTGGAAGCTGAGGAAGAGAAGAAGGACTAAGTAGTTAGCTCAGATCCCTGTGGTTAACTAACGAGTTAGTTAGTGATAGTGATGGTGCGAATCCACCCGCCATCAAGAGCCACACAAATCTTCGGCGAGACTGCAGCCACCCCCTGTTGTATGTATTATTACCAGCATGAACATAGAATACTATCACATTGATGACCTGGGTTGTACTTTATTCTCCTTTTTGATAGTAGGTACTCCGTACCTACAATGGTTTAAAGGTTGAAAGTTGGTAGGCTCGGCCCGGCGAACGCCCCACAGCGAGACCCAAGGTTCCAGAGCAGCGGAAAGGCCTTCGTCGCCGGGCTCAGGAAACTGACGTCTAGATTTCGCACGGAAAACATCTACCTACATAAGGCCTGCACCCTGCATCGACGTCGATTGGGTTGGTATGTTGAATGGCACTCCAGTCGACAGGACAAACAGTTAACTCCATGGTTTACGTTCTTCTCGCCAAGGTTCGGGGCACCCGTCGCTTGTCCAGCCTTCTATGTATGAAGGACTAGCAAGCTATACGCAGCTTTAGTATGGGTGCTCGTTATATCTCGGGATGACCGAGCCCAATCGAATGGAGGTGACGATGCGGTCTCGTTCGTCAGCTTGCATGCAGAGTCTGGCTTCCATTAAAGGCTGCAAATAACTAGATATCCTGGCCACATACCCAAGGTGCGTGAAACAGTGCCTATCTCCTCGTTCTCGTTTATTATTATTTCTGCTTCTGTCACTCGACAATGTGGTTAATAGAGATAGGTGAGACAAAATCAGGGGATCTGCCGTCAAAGAATATGCAGCCGTTACGGCGGGAAACGCGTTTGTTTAACCATGAGCCGTAGCCAGTTCAATAATCAAACTTGGAGATCACTCATCTCGGCCAATTTTTAACACTGGGATATTCTCTCTTACCAAATTTGAAATACGGAAGACATGCCTGCATGAAGGTATATACTGAAACGCTGCTATGCTTGGAAGTTGGATTTCCTGGAACTTGGAAGGCCGTTATTTTCCAGGGGGAATCACGGGCAACGGGCAACCAAGTCTGCCACAGTGAATGGTCAAGGCTTATATTTGCGATGGCTGTACCGAGCAGCAGTCCATTAGGGAGGGGTCTATCGCGGGCACTTCGCAGGCACTGTGAGGAAAACTGTGTTTAATGAGGCAATAGGGTATAGATATCATTCCAATCGGAGAGACATTCGGCTGTGTCTACCATTGTGTGAAGCTCCACTCCACAGATAACGGGGTCCCTGCCTATCTAGCAGCAATGAAATTCGGGGATCCTTCAACGGAAACGAGAAAAGGGTCTCATGAGTGCTTTGGTGGGAAGGAAAGGGGCGTTGCTCGTATTGATTGATCAACAGCCTCAGCTCGTTGCAGGAAGATGGCAAAGCATCATTTACGTGGGTCGAATGGCTAGCCGCGCAATTCGGGCTCAACAGAGGCAAACACTCCGAGCAGCATTCTAGATTTACAGCAGCTGGACGGCTTACCGGGGGTGGAGGAGGTGATGTGTCTCAGGATATCTTGTCCATAATCCTCCACGTATCCCTAAAGGCTACTCCGTAGGCTGACACTGACCGTGCAAGCCGTGAAAGGCAGGTATATCTCGATCCAGAACCAGGTAATATCAAAGAAGGAAGAAAGGATGTCTGTGCCTCCAACGCCCGAGACTCCCTGAAGATTGGAAAGGAGCCTGGGTTTCCCGGGGTTCACCAACATTTACCTCATCACCAACACATAATTGCATATTTATAACTACCCTGGGATATAATGGGGGTGTGATATCACACTGGTTGTTGGTAGAATCGTCCACTTTGCTGGGGGACTGTTCAGGGGCCGCATTCTAGCAGCTCGATCGGCCCCAACCTGCAAGTTCGATATACTTATTAGCATTGGATGGGAGGACAGCGAGATTTCAATATGTGGCATGCGCAGGCCCATGTTGAGCTCCCGACAGTCTGTCTCTTCGGATGCGCCCCTTTTTCCGGGTGACCAATAACGGAGAATATACGACTCGTGAGATGCAGAGAATATGCAAGGGTCCTTTCAACCAATATTATCGGCGACGTCTTCAATAATGGCTTGCACCCCCCTCCTTTTAATCTTACCTGCATTGCATGGATCTATTTCCTTCTAGAAAGATCATGTATTATAACTCACATCATGATATTTGGTCGATTTCCCCCCGCCCCTTGCGGCACGTCACAGTCTTTGGTTTCAAACGTTGTCCGTCCTGCCTGCCCTGCAAACTATCCTGGGCTCAAGAAAGGGACTAACAACGACTGATGACGACACCAAAATACGATGACTGCTCTGGGGGGGAAAGAAATATACTGTCAGCTGAGAAGAAACATGTCTGCCCCTGAATCGTTTTGATGATGGGCTCCGCACGGTTTTTCCAAGTCCACCAAACGAGAACGTCGATATTGACAGGCCCTTTTCGTCTTGGAAGAGAAAGGGAAAAGGAACGGCGAGACGAAAAGAGAGAGAAAGGGAGGAGGAGGAGGAGAAGAAGAAGAAGAAGAAAAGAAAGCAGAAGATAAGTAGAAAACGGAATTGTCGGTGTGACCAACAAGGCAGCGAGCGAGTGGTACAGGCCTGGTACGCCAGTAAATTACATCGTTCGTGGGCCCTGCAACTCGCATTCCGTAAACTTCGGTCAGAGAGATAGCTGTGTTTAGAAGTGTTACACCCGGTGGTGATATAGGGCTATATAGAGATATAGGTTGGAGAAGTATAGACCCTTGCGGTCAGGCCTCCCATACATCCCCCTCCCCCTTCCTTAGCACAGGCGAGAGGGATCTCGATACCTAGCCTGGTGCCATCCAGCTGGTTCTCGCTCGAGCTGGCTTGCGTCTCGTTCTCGTCTGCTGCTGCGGGATCAGCCCCTGTTCTGCGGTATCCGATGATGCATGTCATATAAGTGGGTTCAAGCCGCCAATTCAGCAGGAGAAGAGAGGTTTGAAAAAGCAAATACGCATCCTCCCTATACCGAGACTTAGTACTAATTCAACTTGTTGCCCCCCCACCCCTGCCTCCCTCACTGTCCCTTTCCCTCTTGTCAGAAAGAGAGAGAGAGAGTGAGTGAGCGAGTGAGAGCGAGTTGAAAAGCATAGGACCGCCGCTGAGTATACATAAAAGAGCCCTGCGAAACTCGAGCCAGTGCTGGCCGAGCACTTCTTCGAACCGCCCGTCCTGCGTCCTGAATATCAAACAGCCACTTCCCGCCTGCAGCCAACGCGAGAGGGGGAAAAAGAAAGAAGAGAGTGAGAGGAAGGTGGACAAGAGAACCCCACGTCTATCCCTCTGCTGTGTGTCCGCTTGTCCTTGAGGCCAGCGTCTCACGTCTCGACGGCCTCCTGACTCTGGATCTTGCCAGAACGCTGCCTCCAGTAGACATCGAAGGCACGTCGAGAACCCGACGAAACGAAGCCTATCTACACTCCGGTTAGTGACGAGGATTACAGGAGAGACCGAAGAGAGCGAGCGAGTAGCGGCAAGGCAACGCGAAAAGGGACAAGAACAGGAGGGAAAAGGCCTTGCTTATTCTTATTCTTTTTTCTTCTTCTTCTTCTTCTTCTTCTCTTTAATATATATCTCCTGGCCAATTCATTCATCTCAGTTTTATATATCCCTCCGGCTATTATAGTCTACTTCACAGCAACGACCACAGGCACCAGCAGCCATGTCGGACGACTCTTCCAACAAGCCGAGCGTGCTGGTTGTTGGCGGGCTAGGTATGCAAACGACTATAAACCAGCAGAAGCAAAGGAGCAGACGTCGATGTCGATGGATGTCTGTCGATGGTGGCGTTGGCGTTGGTGTTTTGGTGTTGATGTTAGTTGAGCTCGAGGCTGATTCGCTTTCTCCTTTTGGCCTCGTTGCCCTTTGACAGGTTTCATCGGTCGACATCTCGTCCACCACATACACAAGAACAACCTCGCCTCTGAGCTGCGGGTGGTCGACAAGCTGCTCCCCCAGCTTGCATGGCTCTCACCCGAGATCACGGAGGCATGCAAGGACCGTTTCGTCCAGGCAGATGCCAGCCTTCAGCGTACGCTTGTCCTCCCCCTCTGAACCCCCCAATCCTCTTCCCTCTGCCAGCATCATCTCGACGTCAGGAATACAGGATTGACAGGCCTCGCTGCACTCTAGAATCGCTCCCCCGCGTCTTCGACCGTGCAGACGGCTCCCAGTACGATCTGGTGATAAATTGCGGCGGCGAGTCTCGGTATTCGCATCAAGACGATGTCTACCGGCTACGCAGCCATGCCCTCTCGATTACCCTGGGCAAAGAAGCCGCACGACGGGGGGTCAAGGCCTTTGTTGAATGCTCGTCTGCGGCGATCTACAAGGTTGATGACAAGCCACGCAAGGAAACAGACAAGCTGAAGCCCCTGCAGAAGCTCACCAAGTGGAAGGTCACCACGGAGGAAGAGCTGGCAAAGATAGACGGCCTTAACCTCGTCGTATTACGGTTCCCGTATGTATATGGAGAATACGACACTGGCCTCCTGACGTCTGTCATCTGCGTGGGGAGAACATACAAGGAGATCGGCCGTCCTCTGACCTTCCTGTACGCCAAAGAACGCCCTCTCAACACCGTCTGGGTTGTGGATGCGGCCCGCGCCCTCTGGACAGCCGCAACATGGCGTGCATCCAAGGGACCTCTACCTTCCAATCAAGACCCTCAGCCATTCCCTACCACCTTCAATATCGTCGACCACAACAACACGTTAAAGGGTGACCTCGCTGACGCCCTCGAACGCAACTTTGGCATCAAGTGCGAATTCCTGGGCTCTCTAATGAGCCAATTCGCCAAGATGAACCAAGAGCAGATCCTAGACGAGATGAACGAGGAAACTCTAGAAGTTTGGTCGGAACTCTTGCTGGCCAAAGGGATCACTACCTCAGGGCCCATCAGCCCCTTTTTGGAGAAAGAAGTTCTCAAGGACGCAGATACAACTGTCGACGGATCCCTGTTCGAACAGACTACTGGCTTCACATATCTGAAGGAGAAACTTGACCCAGACTGGCTTAGTAGTGTTATCAAAAGTTACGAACAGATGAACTGGTGGCCCTGAATTATACATGTCTTCCTCTCTGTTCGGCCGTGATACGCGTGTCACTCGCTCCCTTTCTCCTTATTAACTACTGGATAGATGAGAAACCTCTCTCTCGTTTCATTTCCCTGCTACTTCTCCCTTTTTACTTTTATTTCTTTTGTTATTTGCTTCGCAGTCTTGCAGTCTTTATTTTTTATTTATTTTTTTATTTTATTTTTTGCTTTGTGCTTGAGACGGGATATATACATTCACGCAGGATCGATGTATGGGATGCATGGGTGCCCAAATTTTCACACTCCATTCCTTTCTTTTTCCTACTTTGGCGCCGCTTCTCTTCCTCTTACGCTCCTCGACATCCCAAGATCGCTTCCTTCGTTCTATGATCAGTCTAGCTTTCTGTCTCTCCCTTCCCGCTTCAGCCTCGTTGCCTTTATATACCCCTGTTGTAATATAATCAATACTTCATTACCGAAAACTAAAAAATAAAATAAAATAAAAAAATAGCACGGCTTGAATAGTTAACTATGCTTTTCGAAGACTATAACGATCACTCCACGATGGTGCTGCTGTTGACCCGTCGTGGATATTTTGCTGTCAAGGCAAGAACTGCTAGGTCAGTAATATAAGGAAGAGTTTGCCGCCCGCGAGGCCAGCTATGATATAAAAGTACAAGAAAAGAACACTGCTATGCAAAAAGAGAGCAAAAAAAGTCAAGTATAGAGAAGAAAACTCAACTAAATAAAACCAAAGGAAGTGATCCAATGAGGAAATAAAGTTATTCAGAATCAGAACTCCCAGTCCTCGTCTACTGACTTGATAGCCCAGTCGAACTTCTCGCGCATCGTCTTCGAGAAAAACTTCTCTATTGGGACGTTGAACTTTTTAGAGAAAACCACGGTCAAGCGGGGATCTATATAATTCTGTTACGAAGTGGCGTTAGTGATGGGGTTGCTTCTCGGGGAATGACGAAACGAGCGAGGATCGGGCTGGATAACGAAGCAGAAGAACGGAAAGAAAGAAATAAAGAAGCATGGAAGTATAGGATCAATTTAAAAAAAGAAAAAGAAAGAAAGAAAGAAACTCACAAGCTTAGATGTGCCAAGGGCAACTTCCTTGTTATTCTCCTTATCTTCGGCCTGAAGAAGCATATTCTCGATACGCTGGTCGATTTTGCTAATCTGGCCTTCGAATTTCTCGACAGTAGGACCCCTGCCCTCGGCCTCAACCTTTTTCGTCTTATTCTCCTTCTTATATTTGGCCTCAAGCTCGTCGGCAGCCTTGAGTCGTTCCTCGAGTTCTTTGGCCTTCATCTCCTTTTCTCCATCGGCGGCTCGCTTCTCGTTCTCTTTGTCGAACTTCTTGCGTATCTTTTGGCGAAGCTCCTCTGCGAGGAAAGCCTGATGTTCCTTGATCCACTCCATGTCTAGATCTTCATCTAGTTCAAAGTATGCTGCACCTTTCTTCTTCTTCATACTGGAGTCAAGGTCAAGAATCATTTGTTTGATTCGCCATTTCTGATACTGCAATCCTTTGATCTAGAACAGAGAGTTAGATAGGTTGCTTTCTAGAAATGGAAAGTTGATCAAGAATAAGATAGGAAGTGATAAACAGCTGCTTGCTTACCCGATCGCTGAGTTTCTCCATCTGGTTGGCGTGTCCAGCAGCAACGGTGCGTTTATGGTTACAGAGGATGGCGACTTCACGGTTTGCGTCGTTGTACTGTTTGACCTTCTCTGGAATAGTCCCGGTTGCGGACATTTTCTTCAAAAGCGTTGCCATGGTGTAGGAGGCGTTGTACGTACGGAACACCTTGGCAGTAAGGCCAGGCATGTAGCTTGATAGATGCTTGTTGAGAGCCGACGTCTATATATAACGAGGTTAGAAAATTCGTCTTGAGTACATGAATAAAGGACATGGTAGGAAATGGGATGCATACCGTGAGCCGATCAAAAATCTCATCGCCTTCCTTCTTCGGAGGCTTTTTGAATATCTTGAGGTTTTTGAAAACTTGAGGGTCAACCTCAACTTCATCGTAGTATCTAATGCTGTCCTTTCCCAGGAAGTCGAAGACAACGGTGTTTGGTGGCTTTAACGTAACGTGTTCAAATTTAAGAGAGCAACAGCCAACGGTGTCGGCCTCATCTTCACCTTTCTCGTTTCCAGCACGGAGGGCGAATTGGTCGATGAGATAGACAGCTGTAGCTCGTTGTCTATTGACCATAAGTTCATCCTTAAGGCCCTTTTTATAATCCTTGCGAATCCGATCAATGTGTTTCTATAGTGAAAGAAAAATTAGCACCAGAACCGAACGACGCCATGAAATGGCAGTTAAAACAGCACGAACCTTGAGTTCCCGAGCCTTCTCAAACTTCTTATAGTCACTCTGGCCTTTGACATCTGAGTTGGCAGCTAACATCACATATTTGTAGTTTCCGTTAACGTTTTCCTGCCACATGGCCAGCCATGTGCCCTCCTGGTCATGTCTAACTTCCTTCCAGCGATGTCCTTCTGGAGGAGCTGGGACAGGTGCATCCTTGCCAATGTTGATAGTAATCTGTTCAGGCATGACGCGAGTTTTCACCGTACCAGTTTTGGGATGCTCTCCGCGGCCGCGGAAGAGAGCCGGAGGTTCAATACGGAAGTTACCAACCTTTTGCTTTCGCCCATCCCACATACAATACATGTATGGGGCTTCAGCGGCATCCTTTTCGGCCTTGGCTGCCTTCTTCTCAGCAGCACTCATGGCTTTCTTCTCCGCACGCAATTTCTCGTAGTGTTCAAAGATCGTTCTGAAATCACACTTGGAAAACTCCTTGATCTGGATAGGTTTGCCCTGGGGATCCTTTGCTCCGCCAGTTTTCTTGATTATTGCCTGAAAATCGTTGAAGAAATTCTTCTGGAAGATGGGGTTTTCAACGTTGTGGGTAGAATTGAGCATTGTTCCAAAGTGAGAGGCCACCTCTTCAGCATCTGGGCGTAAGGTGACCGGGACACCTGCGTATTTCAGTTTCACATCCTTTGGCAGCGGCTCGTAAGGCGGCGGGAAAACGACTCCGTTGTGTTCCAGGGTCGTCCATTTGATGGTGCCGTCGCCCTTTGATGGATCTTCCCACCATCTGTATTCCTCTTCGGCTTCCTCCTCTTCAGCTTCGGCTTCCTCACTAGGCTCCTTCTTTGCTGCGGGTTTGCTCTTCTTTGCAGGAGTGGCAGCGGCCTTTTTGGCGGGAGCCTTGCGAGCGAGAGGAACGTCTTCATCGCTGGACTCTGATTTTTTGATACCGTTAGTCAGAGCTTTCTTCCCATTCGTAGTGGCTGCTTTTGCTTTCGTAGGTTTGGCAGCAGTCTTTGCAGCAGCCTTCTTCTTGGCCGCGGCCTGGCGATCCTGCTGTCTGAGAGACTGTGCCTCCTTTTCAGCACTCTTTTCGATATCAGCCTTTTCAGCCACGAGCCTCTTAGCCTCTGCAGAATTAACGGACGCCCTCTTGCCCTTCTTAGCCTGAGATATCAAGGGGGCCTCATCCGAGTCAGAAGGTTCTGGTTTTGGCACCGTTCGACGACGCTTGCTCTGGGAGGAGTCAGTCCGGTTGGTGCTATAGAAATGGGGGAAAAGGGGGAGCAAAAAGTCAATCAGCCGAAGACGGTGAGTTGCGAGGAAAGACTGGGGACAGGGAGCGTGGCTGTTTTCTTCTGGCGTACCAATGGTTTATCGTCCTCTGCGCTGCTTTCCGCCTCCACATACGACGGGCGACCAGCACTGGATCTAGATTTCCGTTTAGACGGCGCAACGCCGTTAGTGTCCGCATCCTGCATGTCAACTTCGTTGTCCGTTGCAGGGCCATAGCGGATCGAGATTCCTGGCTGGGTGGTGGTTGTTCCGTTGGTAGAGATGTCGTTGGACTGGGGCACGGTAGGACTGGACAATGGAGGTTCTGTCAAGAAAGAAAAAGAAAGAGCACGAAAGCCCGACTCGTTAGCCATGATGAAGCACCCCAGCGCATACTAGCGCCCTCAGTTGGGTTGGGATGGCTGCGCCGCTCTCGTGGGGGGAGAGGTCTGCAGCTTATGCTGGCATCCGTCACTCACTTTGAACACTTCCGTTGGTCCTCCTGGCGCCGGCAAGCGGCGCATCGTCGTCTGAAGAGCTCATGGCCTGCAGCTGAGACGCCTGCAACGCCTTCAGACGGGGCAGATGGTGAATCTCCTTCACACGCAGCGAGAACCGGGCTGACCGGACGAGGGCGAGCTGGAAGCCAGGCCTTGCGAGCCAGCCGAGGGGAGTTATAGTGAAGGCGTGATGACGTCTGGGTGAGAGCCGGGCGAGAGAGACGAGCAGAAACGAGGCCAGAGCCCGGGCAGGACGCGGGTGCTATCTAGACAGCTGGCGCCGTGGCGGGACGAGAGGCCGGGAGGAAGTGAAGCGCAAGAGCAGGGAGGCGGAAAGAAAGGCGAAGAAGAAGCAGAAGAAGAAGCTGAGGATTTGGATTTGGTTAAATAAATATTAATAAATCCAGGATTTCGTCCTTTTTCCTCTTTTTTTTGGTTATTGTTATTCCAAGCCGGCCTTGTCCCAAAGCGGCTTAGCGCCGCTCGCAGCCCTTTCTGGCTTGTTTTCTTCGAACGTCGAAAAAGACGAAAAACGACGAAAACGACGACGAAGGAGAAAAGACGAAGACCAGAAGCCATCGACGCCGTCACCACCCACGCTGTAACCAGTCTGTCTCGACCGCCAGCCCCTCGAGATGTTCTCGCGCACCGCCCGCCCGGCATGGAAGGCCGGCTCTGCCGCCGTCGCCCGGTAAGCCACCTCAAGAGAGACTACCCGAAGGAACCACACAGCTCGCCGGCAGCCCGCGGTGGGAGGAGACGGGGACGCTGGAGGGCGAGGAGGAGGAAGAGGGAGGTGCCGGCGAGTGATAGGGAGCCAATTGACCGCTGACGATGTGTTTTGCGTGTAGTGTTGCTCCCGCCAATGCCGCCAACTTTGCTACCCTCCGTGAGATCGAGGGCCGCCTGAAGTCCATCAAGAACATCGAGAAGATCACCAAGACGATGAAGATTGTTGCCTCTACCCGTCTCAACAAGGCCCAGCGTGCCATGACTCTGTCTAGAGCGTACGGTGAGACCTCCGAGGCCGTCTTCGGCCAGGCAGAGACCAAGCCCCTCGAGGGCCTCAAGACCCTCTACATCGTCGCCAGTTCCGACAAGGGTCTCTGCGGTGGTATTCATTCCGGCCTCAGCAAGGCTACCCGACGAATGATCATGGAGAAGCCCGACGCCGACATTGTTGTGCTCGGAGAGAAGTCCAAGGGACAGCTCTCCCGATCCAACGAGGACAACCTCGTCCTCAGCTTCGCTGGTGTCGGCAAGGACGTCCCTACCTTTGCTGAAGCCCAGGCCATTGCCGACCAGATCTGCCAGTTGCCCACCGACTACGCCAGCATCAAGATCGTATACAACAAGTTCATCAACGCCCAGGCCTATGAACCCACCACTGTGGAGGCTTTCTCTGAGGAGGCTATCATCCAGTCCCGTCAGTCCCTCTATTATCCTTTTCTTACTTCTTTTTTTTTTTAGTTACTGCTCGGTAAGAGTTTAATGGCCTAACTAACTTCTTTAACAGCCAATGTCGTCGCTTTCGAGGTTGACTCCGAGGTCCTTGCTAACCTCCGTGAGTATGCTCTTGCCAACAGCTTGTACTGGGCCTTGGCTGAGGGACACGCTTGCGAGATCTCTGTAAGTTCCACCACTTCACGAGCTGTATACTAGTCAATTGCTAACATGTTCATTTCCAGGCCCGTCGTAATGCTATGGAGGTAAGAATACTGTTCGGAACTTGATATATCATCGTGGTCATACTCACATTTTTCCTTTATAGAATGCTTCCAAGAACGCAGGTGACATGATCCAGAGGTAAGCTAATACCTCCAATGCCACTATTGTCCGACCGCCCACAACTAACACCCCACTTTAGATTCCAGATTCTCTACAACAGACAGCGTCAAGCCGCCATTACCGGTGAATTGGTTGAAATTATCACTGGTGCCACCGCTTCCGAGGATATGTAAACGTACGCAGTCGAGAGGCTTTAGATGCGAGCACCGCATATATATCTTATGCGCGAAGCTCTTGTTCCCCTGCATGCAGATCTAGATCCATTCACCCATTTTTGTACAAAGATAGTTGTATTCACAAGAGATGTTTCTTTTGTTTCCCTTCTCCCATCACACTAAACGTCTGTGGTTCCCCCCTCGCTCCTGTAAGATCAATTGTTGCCATCTATATCTCTATCCATGAGCTCAATAGTGCCGTCACATCACCGTCTTCGACCAACAGCAGCATAAGTTCCTTTCTTTCTACTATGTCCGTCCTTTTTCCTTTCCCGCCAAGAATCAACGTTCCATTTCCATACCGGAAAGTCTATAGAACCCCTGACCCGAATACAGTCTCGTAGTCAATGCTATATACCCGCCCTCCCGGACAACTACATGCAGCTCTTTAGAAGACCAGATGCACGTCATATATCAGGAAACTTCAATATATATCAGTCTTTCCGATATATCTACGATAGAGGCTCTAAAAATAGATTAAGATAAGATAATTCCTCCAGTAGCGCTTCTAGTTAAGAGATATACATATCAAGTTTACCTTTATTATATATCTACTGCATAAGGGAGAGAGATATAGTTAGTTAACTTAGTTACCCTACTACCCTCATTTACTTCTAGCATTTGAGGAGATAGTATGCACCCAAATGCGTGCCGGAGTTTGTAACAGAGTGTGGGAGTCCGCCACCCTTCTCTCGCCTCCACTCAGAACTCCATAACTGCCTAGGTAGTTCACTCCCTACCTAGCATCAGTCCCGTCCGTCACCCTTTGATTTGGTGCCGTGATGTTGAAATACCGCTCACTGCCTTGGTACTTTCATTTGAGGGTCTCCCAGGGCATAAGACTGATCCCGAAAAAATGAAGCTTTGCATATTTAACGGGGTGTGGCAGGAGTTAACCCACGCTTCTTCATAGATCAACGATGTCATTTTCGAAAGAATTAAGCTGCAGTAAGTGAAAACAGCTGGTGGCTAGACCCAACGCAGGGGAGCATATAGAAATGAAGTCGTCAGGGCGATGGAAGTTAGTGGCACCCCTCTCCCGTTGCATACTTTAGGTCAATATCCGTATCGAAAGGGAGAGGGTCACCCTCGCGGATAACTACTGTCTTTTGGCAACAAAGATTACTATACTAGGATATCGGGACTCGGGAAGGCTTACTCTTTGGGCCATACTTCTATATATACGTCAGTGATCTCCTCAGGGATTTTCTTTTTTATAGCTGCAACAAGTTTGTCAAAACATGTGGGAGTTTCCTTTCCTTGAATCTCTGCCGTGGTGATCGGGGATGACGCCTTGACTGAGAGACTGGAGGTCATGTCTACCGAACCTCTTTTGGGAAGTGAATGTGTATAACATCACCGATTCACTAGTTAAGTGGAAAAGAACAATATTGGAAGTTTATGTCATCCGAGCTAAGATATTAATTATGTATAATTATTATTTTATTATTATGAATTTACTTTAATTAATTTATATAAAGTTAAAATTTTATCCATTATCTTTATATCACGTGATATAGGGAATGCCGAGATGACTAAGCATAATTCTTGCCGGGGCCTTTAGAGTGAATTAAGGAAAGAAGCCAACATTGCAACTTCGTCAGGCCACAGTGTTCGGTATCGAGGAGGGCCGCCGAGCGGATATATAGGCTGTTTCTTCTGCACTGCACGACTGTATAGACAAATTATTTCTATGAACCCAATTTGTTAAACCCACAGTCGCTCAAGATGCTGAAGTCAAGCTTGGCAGCTTTGCTCGTGACCCTGGCCATAGAGGCAGTGCCTGCTTCCGGGCTCTATACCAAAAAATCCCCCGTACTCCAAGTCGACGCAAATAGCTATGATCGTTTGATCGCTCGTTCGAACCATGTCTCTGTAGGTGGAGCTTGCCATGGAATACTAACCATCGTTACCTGCTAACCAGACCTATATAGATTGTCGAGTAAGGATAAATATACCCAACATTTGGTGTCCTTCCAATACTGTTGCTTACATTAATAGATTCTATGCTCCGTGGTGTGGCCACTGCCGGAACCTGAAGCCAGCATATGAGAAAGCTGCTAAGAACCTTGACGGTCTTGCAAATGTTGCCGCAGTTGATTGCGACGATGACAAGAACAAACCTTTCTGTGGCCAGATGGGAGTCAAGGGATTTCCAACCCTTAAGTTAGTTATTCCGTCGAAGAAGCCTGGAAAGCCCAGGGTTCAAGGCTACCAGGGAGCTCGAAGTGCAAAGGCTATTGGTGAAGCTGTTATTGATAATATGCCAAACCATGTCAAGAGGCTCACTGACAAGAATATTGATGAATGGTTCTCCCTGGGCAATGATACCACAAAGGCAATTCTGTTCTCCGAGAAAGGTGCCACTGGCCCTACTTTGAAAGCACTATCCTGTGATTTCCTTGGCTCCATTTCATTTGGTCAAATCCGGAACAAGGAGAAGTCTGCCGTTGAACTATTTGGCATCTCAAAGTTCCCAGCTTTGGTCCTTCTCCCCGGTGGTGATAAGGAATCCATCTTATATGATGGAGAGATGAAAAAGCAGCCGATGATGGAGTTCCTTAGCCAGATAGCTGAGCCGAATTCCAAACAGGCACCTGAAAAGCCAAAACAAACGAAGAAAGCTGATAAATCCTCCAAGTCATCAAGCACCCCAGAAAAGCCAGATGATTCCGCTGAACCAGACAGTTCGAAGGATAAGTCCGAGGACAGCACTACGCCTGAAGACTCCAAGAGTTCAGAAAGTACTGAAAAGGAAGAAACTGGACGAAAGACACCACCACTACGGTCACTCGCATCCAAGATAGATCTCAAAACTACCTGTCTATCAGACACCACAGGAACATGTTTACTTGCCCTGGTCTCATTACCAGAATCTCCTTCTGCTCCACCGCCACCCGCGACGATGGAGATGATAACCGCTCTTGGTGAGATTTCGCACAAGTACACAAAGAGTCACGCAAATATCTTCCCGTTCTACCTTGTCCCTGAAGTTACCGAGGAAATTACCAATTTCAAGAAGCTGGTCGACATCCCATCCGATGGTGAATTAAAGATCGTCGTTGTCAATGGCAGAAGAGGCTGGTATAAGTTCTATAACCCCGAAGAGAGAGGTGGATTTAGCCATGCAGGCTTGGAAAAGTGGATTGACGCCGTCAAATTTGGTGAAATGGAGAAGAAGAAGATCCCAGAGGGCGCTTTAATCGTAGATGCACCTCAAAAACCTGCCAAGTCTGAGGAGACTCCAGAGGAAACTAAGGACAAAGTCGATGAGACAGCTCCAGAGCCAGAGCCAGAACAAGAGCCAATCCAGGATTCCAAGGAAGCTCAGCAGCAAGGGCACGAGGAGTTATGAGGGATTTGATGTTCTCGCAGCTGTGGAGTTACCGTGGTTTTAATTAAGCGTAGCTGGTACTTAAGCAGCAGGCCAGATGTATCTGTTATTGTAAGAGAATTAGCGTTACTGTTATCATTTTAAATAATTTGAAGCCAATACATTGATAAGTTACGCCCTCCATGAATAAATATCCACAAGTATACGTTTCTGGAATAAAGCACACTTGCAGCTGCAATAGATGTGTCGAGCCAGAACACCATATTTATGCTATTTACAATTATTATCTAAAGACGCATTTCTACGTAATGAACATATCGATCAATCAGTCCCTTCTTCGCCCCTCGGTACCCTTTTTAATTTTCTTTCTCTCTTTGCTACCAATCTCCTTCTCATAGATATCCCTTGCAGTCTCGCCGACCTTCCGCTTAGCCGAAGACTTAACACTGACAGTCTTAATGCTGCCATCTTTGGATGACGATGTGCGAATCTGCTTTTCAGCTTCCTCCCAACCTGCAGCCCCGTGCTCGATCTCATATCTATATCACCATTAGTATAAACAGTCCAATGATCCACGTCGAGATAGTATACATACTGGTTCAATGGAAGAGCATCAATTAAAGCTCTCTGCTTTTCTCGTAGTTCAGCGTTTATCTCTCGCCCACCCTCCTTTAACTCATCTTCCAGGTCAACATCAAGCGGACGAAAGCGGTCTTCAACGATCTTATCATCATGAGCATCGGTTGTCTCCCTCTGAGTTATGGCTTTGTTCGTTGTAGGCATTGTGTCTGCAACGGCTCCTTCGAGAACGGAGCGGAAATGTGTGGACACTTTTCTCATTATCTTAATGAACATCGCCATGAGCTGGGTTGCAGCAACCTTGAGTTCCTTCTCTACGTCATCGAAGGTCTTGCGCTGTAAACCGGTGGCCAGAAGGATAGTTTGTTGGACACCTGAGAGATTGACTCCTGGGGTCAAGCGCCCAGAGAAGTAGAGTGATGCTATTGCCGGAACTAAGTCGAGGATGACATGGTAGTCTAATAGGTTATTCGCATAACTATCGAGTCGTTTAAGGTCGAAAGGAGAAAAGACAGCATCGATGTCTGCCTTCGTGACAGGAGATGGCTTAAGGGACGGGTCAGATTTCGATACTGCGGTGGCTGACTCGCTCATGCTCAAAGACATGACTGATGGGAATTCACGAAATTGGTATGACAACAATGATTGGAAGCGTTTATGAAAATCTGACACAAAGGCTCCAAGCCAAGAAGCATCATTGGATCCAGTGGAAAGAGTCCGAATCATTACACAAGAATGCTCTCCAGTAAGGTCGTTAGGAGTCTGCCTTAGATAGACAGGAGCGAACTGAGACTTCTTCCAAAACTTATGCAGAGGCTGTGTCAAGCCAAAACTCACGCCAACGTAGTCAAGCGAGCCAGGACGTCGCTCAGAGAGCTTCCCAAAGAGTGGGGGCATTGACTGGATATCTCTGACATGAACATTATCATCTAGAAGATTGGACTCCTCCAATTCAGCATCGGTCACACGAACCATTTCCTCAGAGGCTGGGTTTTCGTCCTCTGATAAGCTAGCAAACTTGCCCTCGAAGAAGTCGATAAGCAGCTCCAAAGCACGGGACCCATATCCCATCCCAATGTAGTCGGGATTAGTGGCAATTCGTACAATTCGTGCTCCAGATAGTCCAGCGAAATCCTCGTCCTGGAATTGTTGGCTGACAAGCCAAGGAATAAGATCACCGCCCGCTCTCTGGCCACGGCTTAAGCTGTTCAATACGCTCTGTTTACTTATCTGGCCCTCCAAAGCAACCTGGATGACACATAGTGGCTCAGGCAGCTTTGTTGCATTCTCATCAACAGGTGGTACCAAAACGTAAAGTTGATGGGCCGGTGCATCACTCATGAGTTGAAGATCATTGGGAGTATTCTTGTAATGACTGGCAACATACAAAGCCATCATCTGGTGGAGGAACTTTTCGGCAACTGGATGGAAAGAAAAGAGAGTATCACGGTTAACATGGAGCAATTGGCATTGGGATGGGTGAGGGCACCCCTGGGTATTCAATTTAGATTTTGGTAAAGTCGCGTCAAGGCATAGGAGTTTGTTAAGCCATTTTTCAACAGAGTCTCCTTGGGCATATCGAATTGGTTCTGACAGAGTTATCTCGCGTAAAGTTCGACCACCTGGATGAGAACCTCCCTCTTTTCTTGCTGGCTTGCCGGTGGCTCGGTCAGTGATATCGGTATTGTCGATGCCATTAGCTTTGGTCCCTCCCCTTGACTGTTCTCGCAGTTGCTGTATTAGCTTCAAAGAAAGGGATCGTCCAGTACCTTCGTAGCCATTGATTGTCGAAGCCATAAAGACAAGGTAAGGACCCATCAGCTTGCGTACTAATGGCAAAGGGATTGCTGCCGCTTCATCAATGACCAATAATTCAGCCTGTCCCAAGGCGAAAGCATCCTGTGGTTGGATATACTGTATAGTCTGCCTGTGCTGCCTGTGGACATTGACCCTAACAATTGCTTTGTTAAAATCTGGATTAGTTGACTGAAGGATAGTGTAATCAACATGATCAAGGTATCCCAATTCATCGAAGCCTTTGAACACGAACTCAAAAAGGGTCTTTAAATTCTCCGGGCTTGGGGAAGTAATAAAAATGTTACTATATCCATGGGCAATAGCAGCAGAGATTGCCACACCTAGAGCTGCTGATTTTCCACGTCCACGAGCGGCAGTTAAGGTGACGGTGCTGCGCAATGTCTTCTCGGCGATGGCATCCACAAATGTTAGGAGTGCCTTCGCCTGGTCAACAGTTTTGGCCAGTTTCACCAATGCCCCTACTGGCTGAGTGTCTTCTAGTTCCGTCTTAATAGACTGTAGCTCCTTTTTGCTAGGAGATTTGGCTTCCTCCTCAGGATCAACGGGCGGTAACGGAGCGACTGCTTTTCCTCCAGAAATAGGAAGTACATTTAATTCATCATCAACCACAAGACATGTGTTGCAACTGCCAAGTGACAAGATAAAACGTTCATTGAATCGAGCCACAACATCATCATGAGCCTCTGTTCGGTACCTCGAGTGTATGTCCATGGATAGCGTGTACAATTGTTTCAAGCTCTTCATGCCCTTTAAAAGAAGGATGACTATGCCACCACCCTCAACTGTCTCCACTGTTCGTGCGAGTAAATTTGGCGTCAAGGCCTCGAAATCCTGCAGTATACACATCCCATATGTATTTCCGAGAATCTTTTCAGTCTCTTTGTAATACACGTATCGGATCTGATTGAGGGTTATAAACAGTTCAAAGGGGTCATCGGTATTTGGATCGCGTATTCCTCGCTTTATTTCCTTCTTTATCTTCATCTCTCTCTTCTTGCGATGAGTTGTAAAGCCGAGCAGGTCCTTCTTATACGCCCATAGTACTGACTTATTTTGTTTAACGTCGACGCTCGACATGATATAATGAAGGTGAACGATAACATCTTTGGCCCGATCTCCAACAACAACGAAGAAACTCCGTTTCTTCTCCTGGATTCCGTTCCGAATTAGCGCTGGAATCCGCGAGTCAAGGGCCTTTCGTGGCATTGCGACGGGATAGCTCTTGGATTGAGCGGTTAAGGAGTGAATACTGCCGTATTATATTGGTCGTGGAAACGCAGATTATCCTAGGGCATGTTAAAAACGCAACCCTGGGCAAAATACAGACGTCTAGGACGCAGCCGTAGAATTGCGCAAACAGTGTTGAATTGAATCTTCATCCCAAGCTCACCAAGATTCATCAAAATTCATTTAAAAAAAAAAAAAAAAGTTTATTCGGGTAAACTTTCCAAACCTTGATTTTCTGCCACTTCTCACCGCCCATAAATCATGTGACCTTGACTCTAAGTCACGTGAAATAGACGCAACAGAGCTCACGTGCTAATTAAGCGACAGGTAGCGCTTAGATAGCCAATAATATTTTTAATTTAGCCCTGAATACTTTGTCAAAGATCGTCCATTCTGGCGGCTAACCCTGAACGACATATCGAAATGACATAAGAGCAACAACTTAGTTTAACGGCCATGTGTCAGTAAATCATCCCAGTTATTTATTTGGTATTTTGTATCATCTTATGTGCTGCTGCTCTAATTAATGTTTGTCATCGCTGGTCAATGTTGGGAGCAGGGCAGTACCCCGCCACTGGCAAAGACCTATTCCACTTCTGGATAAGGACCGGGGAAGAAACCGGTCATGGCCAGACTCCATAATTACCGAGTCAATACAATGCATAATTAGCCCTTGATAATGACTTGTACTTCTGAAGCATTGTGATTTTGTTGTGCCTCCGTCCATAATGCGCCTCCCGCCCCGAATCTTATCCATAAACCCAAGTTGTGATTATGTCGTCACACAAGACTTGATTACGAATGCGTCACTTGTCACGTATCAAGACAAGAATTGTTCGCAGAATGAGATATTGCTCAATGCTTCAAAACATGAGTGTATCCCGAAGTTATCATTTCTAGAACCACGGTCAAATTTTACCACCAGGCCATTTTTTACTCTGTTAATCGTACATCAGCAACTATGAGCTGCCTGGTCTATCCACAGTCACCTCCAGATTCCGTTTATGATGACGATGATGATGCTGATGCCAATGCCGAGGAAGAAGGAAGGGATGAGGAGTCGCTTATCTCTTTTTATAGAGCCGCAACGGAAATACCTGAGGTAGCTGCTTGGTGAGTGACTCTCACTACTATTATAATGGTGACCTTCTCGAACTTACATTTGTACCAGGACCTTCAGTATTACTGTCCTAGGGTTGCTCGTTTTGTCAAGCGCATCACCCCCTTACCGTGAGTCGCTATAGCCATAGGGGATCCAATTTTCCCTACCTTTATTAACCTTCGATGTGTCATAGGTCTATCATCAGGATCCCTCTCCATTATCTTGTTCATTTCAGGTATTATACTATTAGTGACAAGCTTCCTAACCCCCAGAATACAATCAAAACCTAGGTTGGAAGACAAAAGAATGCCTTTACCGGGACCTACCTTATCCTACTCTGAATTTTTGGCCAATCGGCATGCACTAGTACGACAAATGAAGAAATTTTTACCTATAATGATGCTTCTATGGTTCCGGGTCGAGCTATATGAATGCATTATCAAACATACACGGTGTTCATCTCTGCCTGAGTTTGTATGTTAATTAAAATTGGAACTCCAGGGCCTTGTACAGAATATACTAATTTTCAACCAGGTTCTCCTACCACTTATGATATCGATATATGAATTTTGGAAATTCAAGTGGTCGAAACGGAAAAGCAGCTATGAGCAAGGTAGCAGTGTTTGGGAACTAGTCAGTCAAATTTGTATATCCACTGCTCTAGTTATAGCATGGCTGGCTATAAGACCAGTACAAAATGGTTGGAAATCATCCATCATCTGCCCTATTGTTACCAATGAGCGCCAGGTTCTGCTTTGGCTACGGATATTAGCAGCTATGATAGACTCTGCCATCGTAATAATGGCAGAAAAGCTGGCTAATATGCCTATACGTCAGTCAAGTGGGCCAAGCTTGCCATTTACAACAAAATGGGGATTACTTCTACTGGTACTTTGACGAAAGCTGTACAGGTATCTTACTATAATCTTCGCTAATATCTACTCTAGGGAACAACAGTTTCATGGGCAATTGGAAAGTCTGGGGCATACCTCCTTTCAACACCAAAGGAGGAGCCGTTATTTTCCCCAAACATATTTTCTAATTTTGATAGGATAATTTTACGGTTCCTATTGGTGTCCATATCTATCATATCCGCGTCTAAATGGGTATGCCCCAAACCCCCGCTTCCTGTTCTTTACCTCAGCTTGGTTTCATGTCTTCCTAACTGTCTCAGCCATTAAACCGTAAACTGATATCAATCGTGTCTATACCTTCAAAGCACTAAAGCGTTTAGCCCTTTATTTGTGATATCAATGTTAGCTACAGGCTATACCCTTCACTCGCATATCGCACCATTTCCGGGCTATCGCCCACCGGTTTCGGTTGTGGCAGGGATATTAGCAGCTATACTGTTTCACAGTGTGGCCGTTTTATACGGCGGGCATACATTTCTAGTTGATTATCTCCGGCATTCCAACCGAAGTGGCCTAATGGCTTTAGAGCTAGCATCGGAATCGACCTACACAATTTTTTCGTTGAGTTCCTTGGTTATGGCTATCATTTACATTACTTTAGGTGGTGAAAATATTTCTGGTCACCCTATAAATGCTCTAATGATCCAAGGAAGACAGTTACATGCTCAATGGCTTGCTGAAGCAAGGTACAGCATTGACCTACAGGGAGCTGTAAGCGAATATACAGAGCGTTATAGCTTGTTGCCTCCACCGTATGTTGGGTCCCCAAATTAGTTAACTACGAAACTTGATACATCTGTGACTAACGCTTTATTTAGGGGGTTCGACGTGTGGTACGAATACGCTACTAACAGGTCGTCACTAATTATTGATAACTTCGATCAAATACATCAAGATCTCCTACCATTCCGTACTCTTGCACCCAGTACATTGAGGCATCTTACTAACTCTATGGCAAGTAGCCAGTGGAATGACATAGCCACTGTTGTGGTACGCAATGGTGTTGCTGAGGCCCAGCCGGGGATAATACCCACACACAGATGGATGATAGAAGGAATCGTCCAGATGATTACTCCCTTTGCGCAATACCTACCTGATATGGACATTGCATTTAATTTGAATGATGAATGCCGCGTTTCAGTTCCGTGGGACACTATTCAAGAAATCAATCATACAGCAAGAAAAAACCTCTCTTCTAGAGATTATCCCATGAGCCATGTTTGGTCTAAAGATCGATCACTGTCCTGGGCCCTCAGCCGCTCTAATGACCAGTTGGTGCATTCCCATTTCACAGATATGTCTAGAAAAGATACGTTTCATACCATTGTGAGCGAGTCATGTCCGCCAAGCTCAGCTGCTCGAACACAGTATCAATGGAAGCATGATACGCTATGTTCGGATTGTGCTGAACTACACTCCATGGGTCAATTCTTGCAAGACTGGACACTATCTGGCGACATCTGCCACCAGCCTGATTTGGCAGATTTACACGGATTCTTCATAGCGCCGAGCGCATTCAAAGTATCTCGAAAGCTACTCCCGGTATTTAGCCAAAGCAAAGTGTACGGATTTAACGACATATTATACCCAAGTGCGTGGAACTATATGGAAAAAGCGAGATATAATCCTTCAGACGAGAATCCTGATCCATGCTACGAAGACAAGGAAAACACTATATTCTGGAGGGGAACAACGTCAGAAGGCTTCAGCGAAGCAGGGGAATGGCAAGGAATGGCTCGCCAGCGACTTTTACATCTGGCCAATAATAACACTAACCCTGTCTCTGTACTACTTCCACGGCGAACTGAGGGCATATATTCATACTACACCTTTCCCCCCTCGGAAATCTCCCAATCCATCGGTGCGAATGTGTCAATCGGTATTGCCGAGGACGTAGCTCGATGTGGTGGAAAGGATTGCAGTATTCAAAGACGTGAGCTGGGAATTACCAACAGAGTGCAGTTCGATGAGCATTGGAGACACCGTTTTCTATTTGACCTGGACGGTGCCGGCTTTAGCGGCCGCTTTCTACCTTTCCTACAGAGCAACAGTCTCCCCTTCAGAACTGCAATTTTCCGACAATGGTTTGACACAAGGATAATGCCATGGCTTCACTTTGTGCCGCAAGACATTAGGTTTCATGACTTCTGGAGCACATTGGGGTATTTCGCTGGAGTGAGAACGGTGGATGAAGCTGGAAAAGTCACTAAGGTTCTGATGAAGCCTCATCATCGAGAAGGCAGGATTATTGCAAGGGAAGGTAGGAAATGGGCTGAAGAATCGCTTAGAAAGGAGGATATGGAGATATATCTCTTCCGATTATTGCTGGAATGGGGTCGGCTGACTGATGATCGGAGGGACGAACTTGGGTTTACTGGGTGATACACTCATCTGCTAATGAAAATTTGCAGTAAAACCTTTTCGGGGACAACTAGCGTTCCGTGGCTTCTTCAATTTGTCTAACACTACGGCGGACTCTATGCGCCATACTCTCAGAATTATGTTAGTTCAAAATTTATATATGTAGGTATACCTAGTCTACTCTCGTTTTAATCCTCTCCTCCGGCCTAGAGCTACCGCTTCTTGGCTCTTCTCTCTGGCTCCTTTAATGATATGGCTGTTGAAGATATTTATAGAGATGGAGTGTAGTAGAAGTAGCAGGTATAGAGTGGAAACAAGAATCAAAGTCAAAGAGGCGTGGAGGAGAGCAGGTTAGGAGTGGGAGGGGGCTAAGGGGAAGACGTTTTTGTGGCCCGTAACTAACTAGATCGAAGAAAAATTATGAAGGTGAAGTAACAAATCAGCGGTTAATTTCGATAATTCATATCATTGACTAGTTATTGGTACCAAGTACTGTCGCACGGGTTTCAAGAATAATATTCGCCGATAGCTAAGTAACAGTAATTCTAACACATTGCTGAAGAGAAAAGAAAGTCCTGCTTTCTGCTTACTGTACCCTGATTATTTCCAGCTTCTTTCTCACCACACACCGTTCCTCCTCTCCAGAGACAGTAAGATAGAAAACCCGAGGACGAATCTTGGTAGAAAGAAAAAAAGAAAACAAGTCAAGAATCTAGGCGCTTATAAAACAGAGAATACAAAATCCTGCAACTGGTGTGCATATGTTTAGTTATGGTGGCCGCGTCTGGCATGACGTTCCATATCCCGACGTCGTCGACGTTGAGCAGTGTCCTTGATATCTTCCAAGGCTGCGGATGGGACAGGGACAATGCCACCTGTAGTCTGTGGACCGGATGGCATCATGGTGCTTACGAGGGTGTAAGTCTTGGTGGTAACGTAAGTGCGGCAGGCAGGTTGAGTTGGTGGAGGACAGGAGTCGCCTGGGTTTCCGTTTCCGCCGGTGGGCTGAGGGCCGTTGTTACTGGATGAGCTAGAGGGCTGCATGGGCGCTCCTGTAGGGTTGCTGGCAGTAGGAGCAGGCTGAGTGGCAGAGACCATGGAAGAGACGGTTGAAGTAGACTTCATAGTGGGCATGGCGGGGGTCGAGGATGGAGGTGCAGGGGCCTGGCTAGGCTTGGTTGGAGCAGTTCCCTGTTGGTATACCTTCATGTAGTTGATTGACCAATATGCGTCCTCGAAAGCGGACGGATTTTCACGGACGTATTCCATGCAAGTAGGTGCTTTCTTCGAGCAGATGGGGTCACCGGGCCACATTCCATCAGCCCAGCCTCCGCAAAAGGCAGTGTTAAAGATCTAGGTGATATCGTTAGCTCTGCACCATAAGAAAGACATAGACATCAACATACGATTCTTTGATTGCGAACATGTTTGCCAATAGGACACTCTCCACCGCCGAAGAAGGCAGAGGGCTTCCCCCATTTGGATGGATCGGGGTGCTCGCTGTTGACATCTTTGGGAATATCTTCACGGGGGAAGAACCAGATAGAGATGGCCTGCTCGGTCCATTCAGTAGCAAAAACACCACCTGTAGCGTTGTTGAAATCTGGTCCGTATCCTCGGGATCCCTTTGTATCTTCGACTAGACAACCCTGGTTTTCAGCTTGACCGAGGGCCTTAACGTCGCAGTTAGGTGTGACAACACTTCCGGTGAAATCTCCCCGCTCAGGGATGCTGCATCCCTGAGCAGTGTGAAGAGCGTAGTCATTTTGTTTTTGTTGGTTGACACCTTCGATTATATCGAGCTCGCCCTCATTTGGCCAGGCAGAAGAGGTAGTCCAGCTGTAATCATGGTTCCGCTTAGTTTGTGTGTATAGGATGTGTGTGATAGTGTGAAGCTTACAAGGCAGGCCATGTTCCACACTCGCCTCCAGGCATGTGGTTGATATCAGCAACGATCAGCCCATGGTTATACACCTTCTTTGTCTCGAGGCGAACAGAGCTTCGGCCCTCCCCCGTTGCAACGTTCTTGTGATCGACACCTAGGTAGACAGCATTGTTCCGGACGCCGATCAAGTTCTGGCTTCGAGCCTCCGCCTGGTCGAGGTAGTTGACATATGCATGGGTTGGATCTTTCGCCTACATCACATGTCGTTAGTATACAAGTACGTCAGAACTGACTCTATCAAGTGGTATCACACACAGAAAAGAACCTGAACTGGTCAAACCAGGTGTTTGGCTGGTAGTCATCCTCGAGGATGTATGTAGCAGAACCCAGCTCTGCCAACGCACCCAGTAGCAGCAACCCGGTAGTACGCATGTTGATCATAGAGTACTTAGGAAATGGAAAAACGGAGAAATAAAAAAAGAATAATACGAAACAAACAAAAAAGGTCCGGAGGTTTCTGTGGGAGAGAGTGGAAATCTCAGGATATATAAATGCTTGGGAGTGAATGCAGGGTATATTTTAAAAGAGGTAACTCCGGTTTTCTTATATATGGAATCTGAAAGAAAAGAATGTAGATAGTTTCAGAACGAAGACTTGATCCTGCCAGAGGGGTCTTCTTATTCAAAACAATAGCACAACAATAAGGGAGAGACAGAAGAAGAATAAGCTAAGAAAATTGAATATCAAGGAGCGTAAGAGTTTAGAAGCAAAGAGGACAGAAGAGCAAGCGAAAGAAGCACCACGAAGGCCAGTCCAGCCAGCTTATAACATTTCTCCCACGCTCAAGAGAAAAGGCCTCTGATACATCAAGACGCAAAAAGGTGAATAAACCTTTCTCTTGGGCCGTGGTCTATTTTCAGATTCGCCATCGAGGGGGCCGGCGTATACAACACACATGGGCTGAGTGTCAAAAATGGTCGTATCCCCTGACCTTGAACCGCAGGACGGAACAGGCCCAGGGCCTGGCGCTGCAGCATGACGGTCCACAGCCCAGAGCGAGCGCCAAAGAAGGACAAGAAAGAGAACAGTCTTGTCGGTTCTCGGGTGGCCTGGACGGTTGTTCGCTACTTACCGAGTACTCCAGATTGTCTGTTACCAAGTGTATATGGAGTACGGAGCAACGCCTATGCTTATTAGCCGGTGGCCATGTGAGAGAAGAGAATAATGTCGAAGGCCGAATGGTGGCGGCGGTGGCAAGTCAGATACGAGCTCTATATATACCACGGTGCAACGAGAGAGCGATGGGGACCAGGAAACAGTCGTGTAAAAGAGCCTGTCTGTCCGTCTATTTGTCCCTGTATATAGGTATATGGAGGAGGTGGAGGTGGAGGAGGAGCAGGAGGAGACAGCAAGACGGCCAGCTCGAGCGCAAGTCCCAAGCCAAAGGGCGAAAGTTGAAGGAGGAGAAATATGGGCGAAAAGGAACTTTTGATGGATCCCTTGGAAAAAGAAAAGAAAGACGGCCAAAACGCTAATCGTAGGGCTGAAATTACGATACTTCTACATGTGCATACTAATTATATATTGTCCTCCAGTCTTGCAGCCCGTGAGGCCGCAACGCAGACAATATATGTAGATGTGCAGATGTGAGAATGTACAGGAGGAAGAGCGATGTCGTTAAAAGAAGGTAAAAAAGTAGCTTAAAGATAAAAATAGAAAGTCGCAAAAAGGGAAGGCACGGAAATAAAATACAGAGAAGGGAGGCAGAAAAAAGGCGGTGTATCATGGTATTGTAAAAATGATACGGCTGTCTCGGCTTGCTGTATGGTAATACAGGTATGTTACGTGTAAGTTATAGCATATTAATAAAAGATTAGTCAGTATTCTTTGTCTCCATTTGCTCTTTTCTCTACAGCCGGCATACCCAGCCCAGCTGGCTATCAGCTTCTTCTCTACTTGGGTAAATGATGGACTCGCTTCCGAATGACGAGATCGATTTGCCGTGCTGCAGTGAGACACCGGGTGGCCACTCGATGAAAAGCTCGCCACAGTGCCGACATGTGTTCTTGCAAGCAGCAGACGGAGGGCACTATCGTCAGTTGATTGAGTTTATATATGTATTCAGACTTTCCAACCGTCAACGGTAACTTTGCTCCTTGACCAACGTTGCTAGCAGTCCGAATTCAATCTCATCCCCCGTCCCATGGAACCATTTTCAGGGCTGCTTTCACAGCTAGACCAACTATCTATATCACATAATAGTAGACACGGACTATGATAGTTAAAACCACCCACAAAATAGTTCGGCTAACTCTATTGTCAAACTAGTTATACGTTCACGTGACCTCTATATAATTTTACGGGGAGTGGAAGAAGGGCAAAGGCAAAAAATTCCGGCATTCCACAAGGAAGACGCAGACGCAGAAGCAGACGCAGAAGCAGAAGCAGCAGTTAAGGGGGGAACGACGATAGCGTTAATCAAGAGGAAGATGAGCAACAGTCGACGGGCTGGCTGGGTACACTCTATGCTTGGTGGGCAGCTGCAGGCGACGTTGATGTACCCCAGTTAATGGGTTCTTCCCTGTAGCGGGCCGCCTTTAAGTATTATTAGCACCCCCAAGCGCTGCAGCTTCTTGCTAACTATCTTCTTGTCTGCCCATCATCTTCCTCCTCGTCCTCATTATTATTTTCCTCTTCATGGCTTGACACAGAGAAACCGACCCTCCGCGGACTTGCTCGTGCAGCTGCCGAACAGCGAGCCACATCACGCCCACGAAAGCGTAAAAAAAGGAGAAAAAGAAAAGCAGAGAACATATCTTAACCAACTAGTTATCCACTGCTTTTTTTCTTTTCTAGAAAATGCAGGGCAAGGTCTCGATCAGGCCCTAGCGGAGCTTTTCTTGACATTCTAGTAAGTAATTTATATTTATCTTTCTTGCCTGTTCGTTCCACTGCACCAAGGAGCAGAAACAGCGACAACAGCACAGCACAGCACAGCAGTGCAGCACCGCATTGCCTCCTGTACACCACCCAGCAGCGTGTGGGCCGAGCTGGGTAGCCGACGCTGGGCGAGAAGACGACGTACCCCACCTCTTGTTCCCTCTCTCGACCTCGCAGCTGAAGGAAAGGCGTAACAGCGGAGACCCGGGTTGGACATGATTCCATACACGATCTGTATAACCCGTACGGGGTACAGCTATCACAATGTATAATAATGATGTATAGATGTATCAAGAATAGCCCATGGCACTGTCCAATCTCTGCAGACGCAAGCCTTTCCCTTACAAGTAAGGCGTGAGCTGTACGGAGTAGACGAGGGCCCTGTATTTTATATGCAGTTTCGTAGACTAGCTGTGAGCTGTATCTGTGCATGGAGGAGTATGGAGTTTTCCCGGGGGGGAAGAAGTGCGTTGAGGCGCAGTCTTCCAGGGATCTTCTCCCCACCACTACCGCCGCCAGTGACAGCAATTCACACACATCGCAAGCAACGCACAGAAGCTTGCTTGCTAAGAAGATCGGTCCAGTACCCTGGCGTTCTCTTCATCCCTTGCCTGCAGTGGAACGATCCTACTTGGCGGGGCTTTCAGGATCAAACTAATGCACTGTTACCAGATAAGTTCAGTTACCTGGTTACAGACAAGAATGTACGTGTATACTTCCCTTCGCGAAGGGGAAGTTTTTCGTCCTGCTGCTCGTTGTCCTGGCCCTGCTTCCCGGCTCCCTTGTCTATCCTTCCTCTTTCCTTCCCTCCCCGCATGTCCTCAGGATTTAATAGGATTCGCTAGATGAGCTGGCCCGTCTCACGCCATACACAACCCGTCTCTGCAGAGGGAGGAGGGCAGCCAGAAACCTAGTTACGATCGTGTGATACGTTTGGTCATATAGGGCTGAATTCGAGAATGCTGTCTCTCCCCTCTTTGACTCTTATCTCACTCTTCATCCAAGGATGTGTGTTTCGTCATGGTTGGCTGTGCTGGCATTCGTGGGAAAGCAAAACGAGAGTGTCAGGGCCATAATCCGTCCCATGTATCGAGCATACCAACCAAAACCAGAGGGCCGGTACAATTTCCCTGGCAGGGACCTGCGGACGGTAGATAGGCGGGTAGTCTGGTTGAAAATTATTTGCCATGCCCTCCCATGCGACCAACTGCATAAATACAAATCCACCTATTATTATTACAGAGAGAGGATATGCCAGCGATGCCCTGGTCCCTTGCCCTCTCCCTGCAATGACTGGTCACGGAGCTGAACCCGTACAGTAGCAGCAGCAGCAGCAGCAGCAGTATTTTATTTCTGTGTATAGAAACTCTCTGTATCGTACGGAGTAAGTAACAGCTTAACAAATATGGATACACTGGAGAAGAGCCAGTCGTTAGCAGCGAGCCTAATCTTCAGGGAGTCGTGATGTTACCGAGCAACAGAGCGTCCCCTCCAACCAAGCGCCATCTCCCTCAGCTGCAGACTCTGGCCATCGGGCTCACCGAACTCCCTACTCCCTACTCCGTACTCATCCTTCATCCTCTAGCACCTGTCTGTCGCTTCTTCGTCCGTCGTCTTCTTTGCCTTACCTCCGCCATTATTGCCGTCGACGTCTCGTCTCGCTGGGCTTGGGCGAAGTTCCTCGGCTTGGAAGGGCAAAAGTCTTGGCATCAACTTCCTTTTTTCTTTCCAGCTTCAAAAAATAAAACATCGCCTTTTTTTTTGTCTTTTCGACTCTCAGCTAGCCATCGGCTGAGCCCCCCGTCAGCGCAGACAGACAGCTGTTATATATAGCTCCTCTCCAGATCTCTCTGTCTTCGGCAGCCTAGATCCTTCGAGCCTCTATCTTCCACTCGTATCCTGGGATTCTTTCATGCATACATGATCGCATGATTCCCCTGTGCACCGTGACCAGATAAGCTGCTGCCAGTCTATCAACCCACCTCAGCCGCCATGGCGTTGAACAGGGTTGGAGATGATAATCTCTATATTGGAGGGTTTGTTTATCCCTCTCGTTCGCCCAGCTATACCCTTCAGGCCCAGCTGTTGCTTGTCTCTATGGCCATAGCCCCGGCCCCTGGACAACGCAAGCCAACAGCAGGTGATGAGCCATCCGCCATGCATATTGCATATAGCTAATCAGAATATATTGTATTATCGTGTCTATGCTTCTAGATTAATGGCCCTGAACAATAAACTTGCACTGGAAAGGGAAAACATTACCCATACGCTGACCGTATTGCGTATAAACGTAGACGAAGAACGGTTTAAACCCTTCAAGGAACACTTGCATATCCCAGTCGATGATGTCGATGATGAGGATCTCCTGCAGCATTTTCCAACCACAAACGCATTCATCCGGTCAGGGCTCGAGAGTGGAACTGGGGGCGTGCTCGTTCATTGGTATGTTGTTGTTTTTTTGGTTTCTTTCTCCCTTTTTTCACTTGTGTATGTTTACTTCTTCTCCGGAGTACTACTTTTGTTATAATTTTTACATTCACTGTTTGGCTGGGCTAGCTAACGGCGCCTATCAAGTGCAATGGGCAAGTCCCGCTCGGCGACTGTGTGTATAGCGTACCTCCTCCACAAGGACCCTGGTGCGTTGACGCCCAGAGAGGCTTTGGACCTTATTCGTCGCACCCGGCCGCTTTGTGAGCCGAATGATGGGTTCATGGAGCAACTGGAGCTTTATCACCAAATGGGATGCCCAGATAATGTTGTTGATCATCCTGTCTATCAACGTTGGCTCTATCAGCGAGCCGTGCAGGACAGTGTAGCTTGTGGAAAGGGGCCTGAGCTGAACGAGATCCATTTCGAAGATCAAGGGATAAGTAATAACTCTATCGGCGATTGTAAGGAGCCAGTGGATAGAACTGAGGTTAGATGTCGAAAATGCAGGTTCGTGGCTGAATGCTATTCAATCTCCTTACTACTCCAGCGAATAGTCACCAACTAATGGGATAATCAGACGGCAACTCGCCACACTACCATTCATCATCCAGCATACCCCAGGAAACAAAAGCGTCTCGTCCCAGACGCAACCCCTTGTCCCCATATCGTCATTGACACCCACGTCATTACCGCCGTCAACATGCGCCCACATCTTTCTCCACCCACTCACTTGGATGCGTCCATCACTTTTTCCGTCATCCTCGGATCCAACGTCTTCTAACGTGCCCTTGGATCCAGACTCTAATCCGCCGCTCTCTGGGCGCCTCACCTGTCCATCTAAATCCTGTGGTGCGAATATAGGTAAATTCGCATGGGCCGGTATGCCTTGTAGCTGCGGGACATGGATCGTGCCGGCCATAGCTCTAGCGAGGGCACGGGTTGATGTATTCGATGCGAGTACGAGGAAAGGCGGTGCGGCTAGAGTTGTGGGTGCTAGGATTCGAATGCCCCCTAGTATGATTAGAGCGCCTGTGGCTGACGCCAGGGCTGAAAGAGGAGGTGATGAGAGCGGGAAGGGGCTTTTATGAGTGTAATTGAAAATAGGCACTCGGGATACGGAGTATGCTGGATGAACACCTTGAGATAGATAGACGACTAGATACCCTTTTGAATTGAAGTATAATGGAAAATGAATGTTATACGCAGTGCTCCATATGTCAAACTAGTAAAGTAGCCTTCTTAATATACTGGCTGAAACACGCCACCTGTCATGGAAGTTAAGGGTTATGACAGATCTGTCTTTGGCACAGAAGGGAACGTCGAGGGGTTCTGCAGACGTTGACGATCTCTCTTAGACTTCTCAATAGCCTTCAGTCTATCAACCCGCATTTGGTAGAAGTTCCTGCAGAGGCGGTCAGTATGTAACTAGTAGTTATACATACGTCCAAGGGGCGTTTAACGTCACACATACCTGTGGAGTGAGTATATTCGAGGCATGTCATCTGTGCTAGCATTCACAGGGCTAGCTGCATTCTGTATAGATTTGATCTATTATTCTGTAGGTTAGAAAGTGGCTTTTTACCCGTGGGGTAAGTAGGAAAAGGGGCCCACAGACCTTGTCGTCTTTCTCTTTCTCATCTTTCTTACTTTCTTCTTCGTCGTCGGCCTTCTTCTTGTCATCTGTCTTTTCACTATCCTTCTGCTTGTCCTTTTCCTTCTCCTTTTCCCTCTTCTTCCGCTGCTTTTCCTCGTACTCTTTCTTCACCTTCTCTATCTCCCGATCCATTTCCTCTTTTCTCTTCTTCGCCGCAACTTCCTCCTCATCTATAAGAGGGGAGCAAAAACCCTTATCTTTTAGATGGATTGGGCAGACGTAAAAAAAGTCCTACTCTAGTCTTAACATATATTTCATTATTGCGGACTTGTGTTCACAGACACCGGCCTGGCCTTAAGTGTACCGAGAGATGTAAAAGCAACTGACCTTACTGTCAGGTGTAACTAATACACTGGTCGATGGCTTGTAGCATATCAGGCATGATTTGGCACCGGTGTCCGCAACCCGGCGGAGGTGCCATATGTTTTGTAAAAGTTGGGCCATCCTTGGGCTTATAACGAGAGCATTATATGGGGTACACGGTACAGGTCCTCAGAGCCATCAAATAGAGCCAGTATCGTGTGCTCTGGAATGGTTCTCGGGGTGTTGTTTAAGTAGCTGCGTAGATTGTAAGTCCAGTAATGTTGTAATGTGAAAGGTGAGGCTCATCAATGGCCGACCATGTGATCTGTTGGGCTCCACGCTTGGACTCCAGGGGGTTAACTAACTACTTCGATACCAATGCATGCCAACCCTGAAGATTCATGGATGTTTGAAGAGTCAACAGCCCGTCATAATACATATACCTACATTCTATTACTATCTAAGTTAGGACAGACGATTAACTAACTAATAGCTACACCAATCCAAGACTGCCCAGAATGTAGATTAGCCTCCCAAAGGATCTATCCTAGACGTTAACAAATCACTCTGTCGCGCCCTCTTTATAGGTGATGGCAACATTGTCCGGCGAGGGCAAACTAGCATTCATATTCTCAACATTCCTTCTCGCTTCCACCCAGATCATGAATTCATCGTAGGTCTGTGGCCAAACTTCGTGTTGTCCCTCAACCAAGAAGGTGTAGTTGAAGGTTCCGGTGGGATTGCTAGTTCCATGGTCAATGTTCCTGGCGGTTGTGTCAACCCGAACTTGAACTCTGGTGAACTTTTGTCCGGTCGAGGAAGTCGAAGGCGAGTCCTGAGTATACGATACTACGGCATTGAGGTACGAAACGCAGCCAACTGGGACCGGGTTGTCAAAGGTACTGGGCTCAAGGCATAGGAAAGTAGGTCTGCTGCGTGAGAATGAGGCAGCGCAGCAGTAAGCTAGTTCGAACGTTTGCTTGAGAAGGTAGCCTCCGAAGATCATGAAGTTATGTCGGTTGCGATCATAAGGCTGCATGATCTGGGCGGCTGAGAGTCTTGTGTCCTTCATGTTCGTAGCAGATACGCCAGATAGTTCAGGAGGTATTTCACGGCCTAAAGCGCGTTAGGGACGACACTGATGTAGGGGCCGCAACTGTAACTGAATAATAATAATTTATCCATACCTGCTCTCTTCGTCCACATTGCATGGATAAGGTCACTCTCTTCGTCATTGGGAGTCTGGGTCTTCAGGCTTCTCTGTCTAAGGTCCTTTTTGGCATTATAATTATGCTCTCCCTTCTCGAACAGTCGACGCTCTTCAGCCGTTTCAACCAGGAGCGGTGCAACAGAGGCTGGTCTAATGCTACATTAGCGATGATTCCTCCAAACTTGGCAGTCACAGGCGAAAACAACTTACTTCTTCGTCTTTGGATCCAAAGCCACCATTGTAAAGGCGCAAGTAATTAGAACATCTTCAGCCCTCACCACTTCGCCTTCAGCCGGCGCTTTAGCAACCTGTAGAGATACTTCCATACTTGATCGGCCAGTAGAATAAGTAACTTGGCCACTCAATTCTAGGTCACAAATTTCTTTCAATGGGTTCTCAATCGTGATCCTGTCAACTGCTGCAGTAACGAGAGCGACATCATCACCGGCATGTCGGTAACTGACAACGCCGGCAAGCGCATCCAGATCCATCAGCAACGAGCCCAGTCTGCATATGTTAGCTGTTGTTCCATTGAAAATCATTCCCATATAGCATATATTTGATGAATTACCTGATCTGTCCAGTTGCGTTGACATACTCGTCCAAAAGCCACGGATCTTTACCAAGAGGCAATATCTAATATCCCCATCAGTTTAAGCAAGAAAAATACACAAAGGGGGTATACAAAATACTAACCGATCGATAGTAGCTGTCCTTCATTCTCTTCGGGGTCATGTTACTGGCCTGCACCGGTCCCCCTGTCCTGGCCTTATCAGAGGCACCGGTGGTCAGACCCGCACCCTTCTCCTCACGACTCTTAGTCAGTGCCTCAATGTATGGCATCTTGACTCTGGCTTCCGTCCATGCTGGATGAAACGTCTGCCTGGGTAGTGTGGAATGAAGCCCCCTTGACTGGATATCTGGACACGACGTTGCCTGAAGGCAGCTTCGCCGGATCCCCCAATTGAAACATGACGGGAGGCTTCTCCTTGAGACTGATGCTACCAACGAGGATACTGGATGGTAAGTGTGAGGAAGCATGGTTATTCTGCGGGATATCGAGGATTATCCGAATATGTTTCTAATCTCAAGTTTACTAAGATGCAAGGGATGTAGTCGGAGATTTGGTGATGGCGCTAACTAGTTAGCCACTTAGTAACGAATTACCTGGGTTCAGCAGCAAGGGACAGCTCCTTAAATACGGCTGGGATGCGCAAACAACAGTCTCGAGAAGTGGATACCAGCATTCGAAACACGGGATATAAGATGAACAGGTGAATAAAGAGCTGCCTTTATTGTACTATGAATTTACGGGATACAACATAATCTATTCCGTCACTGTGCTCCGGGGTATATATATATGATGGCGGCTGCAAGAATTAAATCAGATATTTGACTTAAAAAAACGAGCAGAGAAACGCCATGACAAGCATGCTAAGAACTAGACTAGATGTTTAAAAGACAGTAACGAATGAAACGCTCAGTGCGCTGATAACACCGGGGGAACGTAAATGGCACACAAAAAGACAAACGACCAGGCAAAACTATTCAGACTGTAGTCAAGTTCTTAAAAAAAAAAATCCAAGAAACGCCGGTGGAATGCAATGGGTAAGGGTATGACAGCGAGGGACAACGAGCAATAGGCGGTAGACGCAACCATGCTATAGTGGCTTAGCCATTAATAAGCCGGAGGGAAGGGACGATAAGGGATCAGGTAGAGAAGTGCAGATGGCAATGGTGATTAAAAGAGTATAAGTCGTTGAAAGTGAAAATCATAGCGTGTATGCAGAGGAGGCGGCGTAGAGGATAGTTTCAGCACGGCAGCAGCGTGCTTCAACTCCAGAGTGAAGAGCCAATGGCGAAGAAAACAGCTAGTGTGAGCCATGTTGGCGTCAAAACACTTGAGGAAGAATTGGGAGAGCTGGTTGCTCCATTGGTAGCCTCGCCATTAGTAGTCGAATCAGAACCAGACTCAGCTGGTAGTCCAGGGGAGCCACCAGAAGGCGCCTTGTTGGAGGTAGGATCTATATGTAGCATTAGAACAGATATAGTTTTCGGACATAGGATAGCATGGAGTAAGAACATACCTGGAGAAGGGGTGGAAGATGGTGGATTCTTAGTCCCCGCATATTTCCTTGCTGCTAGTCCGACTCGGTTCTTATCAAAGTCGAAAACAGAATAAACGTTCTTCAAAAAGACATCGCCAACGAGCCACTGTTTAGGTCCTAGTATCTGACGTCCCACAATAAGAGAGTTGCATGTTCCTTTCGTGGCTGTTTCATTCCCAACGTAGTCGTCAGGTTGAATGGTATACTCGACTCCGCCAATTGATAGTTTGATATCAACCTTGGTAGAGCACGGGAGTGTGTAGAATCCCGAACCCTTATTCGCCTGGGGTATCATGGAGTGAATCAAATCGGCATCAGCAGGAGGAAGTATAAGGAATGATGTTCCAGTATCAATGATACCAGTTCTTCCCTTCAAGTTCAGAGACTTCCCATCCATGATCAAGTCATCCATTGCAATTTCCCATTGATAGCCGTCGGGGACGACATTTGAATATATCAGCTCGCCAGAAAATTTGCTCTTGTCGATGTCACCAAATGTAATCTGA